TCAAAAGGGTCCAAAATTAAACTTTGTTTGATTTCATCAAAAATTGAATTATTGGGGTTCTTTGATATGCCAAATCTAACCGTGTATTTAGATTTTTAATTTTGGGTCCCGTTTTTAAATTGGTCTACATTAAGGTCCAAAGGGTCCAAAATTAAACTTAGTTTGATTTTAACAAAAATTGAATTCTTGGGGTTCTTTGATATGCTGAATCTAAACATGTGTTTAGATTTTTGATTATGGGCCCAGTTTTCAAGTTTGTCCAAGTTGGGGTCCAAAATTAAACTTTGTTTGATTTCAACAAAAATTGAATATATGGGGTTCTTTGATATGCTGAATCTAAAAATGTATTTAGATTTTAGATTTTTGGCCCAGTTTTCAAGTTGGTCCAAATTGGGGTCCAAAATTAAACTTTGTTTGATTTCAACAAAAATTGAATATATGGGGTTCTTTGATATGCTGAATCTTACCATGTACTTAGATTTTTTATTTTGTGGGCCTGCTATCAAATTGGTTCATATTGAGGTCAAAAGGGTCCAAAATTAAACTTTGTTTGATTTCATCAAAAATTGAATTATTGGGGTTCTTTGATATGCCAAGTCTAACCGTGTTTTTAGATTTTTAATTTTGGGTCCCGTTTTTTAAATTGGTCTACATTAAGGTCCAAAGGGTCCAAAATTAAACTTAGTTTGATTTTAACAAAAATTGAATTCTTTGGGTACTTTGATATGCTGAATCTAAACATGTGTTTAGATTTTTGATTATGGGACCAGTTTTCAAGTTTGTCCAAGTTGGGGTCCAAAATTAAACTTTGTTTGATTTCAACAAAAATTGAATATATGGGGTTCTTTGATATGCTGAATCTAACCATGTATTTTGATTTTGGACATTGGACCATAATAGGTAAATTAAAAAAATTGAAGTTCTTAGACCACATTCTTTCTGTGTCAGAAACCTATGCTGTGTCAAATATTTAATCACAATCCAAATTCGGAGCTGTATCAAGCTTGAATGTTGTGTCCATACTTGCCCCAACTGTTCAGGGTTCGACCTCTGCGGTCGTATCAAGCTGCGCCCAGCGAAGCATTTTATTAAAATTGGAGTTATCTTCCTTTGTCCATGATTATAGTTGAATCAACTACAATCAATGCTTTATACAATGCAATGTTTAATTTTGACTTCCACTGATAAAACACAGATCAAGTTGAATTTGGGTAGTGTCACTTTAACCATTATTGAGTTATGCCCCTTTATAAATCGAAAGATTGCAAAATTTTTAGTTTTCATTCTGTTACTTAAGTTTGCCCCAACCAAACATTATGAAACCTATACACAATATTCATAACCACAAAACTAAGATCAAGTACAAATTTTTTGTTTCCGTTTTCTAACTTTAGTTTGCCTCAACCAAATGTTATGAAACTTATACACAATGCTAATTACTACATATATAATACAGATTAAGTACGAAATTTGGTGGCAACACTTTTACCATTCTTGAGTAATGTCCCTTTATAAACATAAAATTTGCTGAATTTTTTAGTTTGTCTCAACCAAATGTTATAAAACTTATACACAACCGTTCTAGAATTATGCGTGTTTACAAATAGAAAAATTGCTGAATTTTTAGTTTCTGTAATTCAATAAGTTTTTTATGTATTTAATAGAAGAAGTGATGGGGAATACTTCAATGAGGCAGCAACCCAATAACATGATAAATTAAAATAAATGTGGATAGTGTCCACATGTGGACACAGATGATGCCCCCGCTTGCATATCATATAGTTATAAAGGGACATAACTGAAGAACGGTAAAAGTGACGCTACCCAAATTTGAACTTGATCTGAGTTTTGTGGTAATAAGCATTGTGTGTAAGTCTCATAACATTTGGTTGAGGCTAACTTAAGTAGAGAACAGAAACTAAAAATTCAGCAATTTTTATATTTGTAAACACGCATAATTCTAGAGTGCTTTAGTCAGTTGCTATATGGCTTTCAACAATGCAAAGATATATACTGTATCATTAGCCTGTCAGCACTGAGGTTGTGAGTTCAAACCCTGCACATGACAAGTCTGCTCAACTACAATCTTTATTGACTAGGATTGCCAGTTTTCCTGCCAAAAGTTGGTAGTTCTCTACAGGCACTTTGGCTCCTCCAGCCATACAACTGGCTGCCTCAAAATAGTCTATATTCTCGTTTGAATTGTTTTACATTTGTCATTTCTGGGCCTTTTATAGCTGACTATGCTGTATGGGTTTTGCTGATTGTTGAAGGCTGTACGTTGACCTATAGTTGTTAATTTTTGTGTCATATGGTCTCTTGTGGATAGTTGTCTCATTGGCAATCATACCACATCTTCTTATTTTTATACAGTGCTGAAAGTGATGTTTAACACCTAAAATCAATCAATCAAGGTTCTAAGAACTACGACATACAAAGTTGCTGCCATGATTTAGTGTAAGAAATTTTCAAAAATAAAAAATTCTTAGCTGCTTTACTAATAATTTGAATTTTATTGCCAAAAATCAAAATTGATATCATTTTAAGGGCAAAAGTGTCTGTTGTGAGTTTACAGGTATGTCCTAAACAAGTCATAATTTACTAATTTTATCAGTACTTCCCATTTTTTATCACCATAATTGTAATGAACAGCCATTTGCAAAAGTTATTTGAATAACATCTGAAATGTCTGTTGAACACTTCTTTCTGAGCAAAAATTTTAGAAGACAGAGAGAAACTTGATCAGCAGGACATGATTAAGAAAAAATAGATATTTTAGTCATGACTTATATTCTAGTCTACCTACATTGTTGGACAGTGGCCATTGTTAAAGGTGCACATAGATCCAGTTGAGCCACACATGCTCTTTAAATCTTTAGAGCCTCTAGTTATATGTTCCGGTAGATATAACCGTGAAACAGCAGTTTTGGCTTGACAGAGTAACTGCTTCAATAATGAGCTTACACCAGAAGCACTAGGTCAGTTGTAGACCTGAAAAAGAATATATATAATAAGTTTGGACTGATTAAGTTTATGCCTTTTTATTACCATATCAATTATATACCAGTGATTAGGATAATGTTATATAATGTATTTTAGTTGAATTAGGAAATTTTGACCCTCTGTATCTAATAGTTATCATGTAAAGTTGCCCAATTGACTGGAAATTGTGAGATAATAAGTTTTAATTCCATAATAGTTTCTCAAGATCAATGCCATCTAAGAGAAATAGCAGTTTTAACGATTTAAGCGAACTTTTGGCCGGTGTTAATGGAAATGTATAGACACTCAGACTTACTATATGAGTCATACCCCTGTCTTGGATAAAACGGAATCCAACTTATTGATTTTTGGTGGGATATTGCACCATGGCATCTACTGATTATTTGAAATACCAAATTAGACATGTAGTAAGAATCCAAATAAAATGATTTACGACAAGCAAAAGAAAGTCAATAGTCATACGAGATGTGTACAATAATATGCACAATATTACCCAATCCATGCAAATCTATGATACAGAAGAGGAATATGATAACATGTGTTGTCGAGATGGCGTGTTATCTGTGGTAGGTTTAAATGTACGTACTTGTACCTAATCAGGGTCCTGCTTATGTAGGCATGCTCTATGTAGTGCATTTATTGCTTGGGTTGCAGGGTGGTTGGGTCTGTAAAAAAGTGCAGTCCTTTATGGGACAGGATGTGGGTTAAAACATGGTTGGAAAGCAGTTCATCACTTTCATTGGTCAGGAAATTCCCTTAATTTCTAGGTACATTGAGATTTGTATGTTGATTGATTTTTCTGTAAGAAGAAAAGAAGACATTGACTGCATTTAGTGATCTTTAAAATTTGAGATTGCTGAAAAATTTCAGTCATGTGCTGAAAATAAGACTTTTAAAGAAATGGTTGAAATGCTTTGAATCACACGAAGATTTCGCGCAAAGACCATAAGCCAACATTTATTGGTACAAAAAAGGCAGAATATCATGGAAAACTGTTCTAGATTAGCTTGTTATGTACTTTAAGAGATTGAACTTGTTGACATTATTTTAAGAAAAAATCCAGAATCAAAAAGATTAGTACAAAAATGCTGCTGAACTTGAGGAGAGTGCAAGATCTATAAACCAGACACCTAGTGTTAGATGACAGTTATCCAGAAATGTGATCTTCAGATAAGGAAAATTGATATTTTACATTGTTTTGTCTGCCTATCCTGTGCAGATATCTTTAAATTTTTGTAAATCATCAGATTCATTTGCCACTATTACTAGTTAAGATAAGCAGAAGAATGTGGTGTGCAAGAAAGCTACAATTTTTAGTGTACCAGAGGTCAAATTTAGGTCAATTCTGCAGCTCATGTTTAAAGTGCAGTGGTTCCAGGAGATTTAGTATAAGACCAGATTGAAAACAAATTTGATATTTGCATCACACTACCCATTTCTGTCTGGTGGGCACAAGTAAAACTACTATTTAATATTTGATTGTAGTACATGCTGACTTTGGCTCAAAGAGTGGAAATAATATTTGCCTATAATCCTAGTCACCTTCTTTCAGATCTGGTGTGTCTGAATTGACTTTTATTGTTGTTTATTATTTTTTGTTGTGAATATGGCAATAATGCATGAAATATATCAAACTCAGGTAAACGAAAAATAAAACTGGCATTAGGCAAGCATATGACTAAATTCAAAATATGAATAAGAAAAAAAAGTGCTTGAATGGTCTCCATATTATACAGAAAATATAGACAATTAGAAAGATCAGTTAGTACTTTTGTGAGGAAAATGTTCAATTTGGATTAAACATGACTGGATATTTTGGCAAATGCTGTATTTAACCTTACTGAGCATACTGACCAGTCAGTACAAAAAGATATATTGGACCACTGTTATTATTTTATAATAAATGAGTCATGCAAGTTAGTAAATTGTATTGATCCAGATTAATAATTACAGTTTAGGTTACATAATAAGTAATAACTATTTATCAATAACTTCAGGTGAGAGAAAGATTGCGAGTAGCTTTGGAAAAAGTTGCCTCCTTAGAAGAGGAACTGACAAATGCTAACCAAGAGGTAATTATCTTGCTTTACTATTGCCAAAGGTTTTACCTAACTTCAAGGTTTATGATACTAATCACGTAGATCATTAGTTAACACAGAACATACATATCTCTTGCTGTTAAACATACCTGTGTTCTGATATACAATATACACTTCTACAAGAGAATTTGTCTTTTATCAATTTTTAAATTATTGAATGAATCTTGCTGTTTATATGTTATCTTGTACATGTACTGGTTTTCATTACTATTCTAAACTTCAACACATTTTTATGCCCCCGCCGTAGCGGTGGGGGCATTAAGTTTTACCCTTGTCCGTCTGTACGTACGTACGTACGTACGTACGTCCCAAAATTGGTTTCCGTTCTCTAACTTGAGTTTGCCTCAACCAAATGTTATGAAACTTATACACAATGCTTATTTTCACAAAACACAGGTCAAGTTTGAATTTTGGTGGCGTCACTTTAACAGTTCTAGAGTTATGCCCCTTTATAAATTGAAAAATTGCAAAATTTTTAGTTTCCGTTCTCTTACTTAAGTTTGCCTCAACCAAATGTTATGAAACTTATACACAAGGCTTATTACCTACAAAACACAGATCAAGTATGAATTTTGGTGGCGTCACTTTAACCGTTCTAGAGTTATGCCCCTTTATAAATGGAAAAATTGCAAAATTTTTAGTTTCCGTCCTCTAACTTAAGTTTGCCTCAACCAAATGTTATGAAACTTATACACAAGGCTTATTACCACAAAACACAGATCAAGTATGAATTTTGCTGGCGTCACTTAAACCCTTCTAGAGTTATGCCCCTTTATAAATGGAAAAATTGCAAAATTTTTAGTTTCCGTTCTCTAACTTAAGTTTGCCTCAACCAAATGTTATGAAACTTATACACAATGCTTATTACCACAAAACACAGATCAAGTTTGAATTTTGGTGGCGTCACTTTAACAGTTCTAGAGTTATGCCCCTTTATAAATTGAAAAAATTGCAAAATTTTTATTTTCTTCTAAATATCAAGTTATTTTTAAAATTGGAGTTATCTTCCTTTGTCCATGATTATAGTTGAATCAACTACAATGAATGCTTTATACAATGCAATGTTTAATTTTGACTTCCACTGATAAAACACAGATCAAGTTGAATTTGGGTAGTGTCACTTTAACTATTATTGAGTTATGCCCCTTTATAAAAAGAAAAATTGCTGAATTTTTAGTTTCTGTTCTCTACTTAAGTTAGCCTCAACCAAATGTTATGAGACTTACACACAAAACTCAGATCAAGTTCAAATTTGGGTAGCGTCACTTTTACTGTTCTTCAGTTATGTCCCTTTTTAACTATATGATATGCAAGCGGGGGCATCAACTGTGTCCACATGTGGACACTATCCACATTTTTTCTTTATATTTTATGCATGAAAAAAATTTGGGTGATGCATTTTTTTATTTTTCAATTGCTTTATATATTTTTTTCAATCTGTCCATCTTTCAGATTGCGTTTTCTTCACTTTTTCCTAACTTGTAAATACATTTTTGAATATTGACCTAAATTGTGTGCATGGTCATGTCATATATGCTTTTGTTTCAGATAGGGTGAAGGTTGGCGCCTATTAAAACGTTTAAACCCGCTGCATTTGTTTGCACCTGTCGTGATGTTCAGTGGTTGTCGTTTGTTGATGTGGTTCATAAGTGTTTCGTTTTTTATATAGATTTCCTGTTTGAATGGTTTTACCCTAGTCATTTTTGGGGCCCTTTATAGCTTGCTGTTAGGTGTGAGCCAAGGCACCGTGTTGAAGTCTGTACTTAGACCTATAAAGGTTTACTTTTACAAATTGTGACTTGGATGGAGAGTTGTCTCATTGGCACTCATACCACATCTTATATCTTTGTACAGATAATTATACAAAGTTTAAAGTTTTTGTATTTTTTTGACTTTTCAAGGAATTATGGCACTTTGATTTCAAGTAAATGACAGTTTAGGAAATTCTTTGGAGCCATAAAGAACGTGTTTACCAAACTTGGCTTGATAATGCCCCATAGTGTGAGGAAGACCCCTATTGATTTTGGGGTCAAGGTCACAACAGCTATTGATAGACTGAGATTTTGGTTTCAGGATGTTATCTTCTGAACCATATGTGTAACTTTTTTGATTTTTTTTTATGCCCAATGAGACAACAAAGACCCCATATGATTTTGAGGTCACTATGTCAAAGGTGAAGGACACATCAGAAATCAATAGACTGAAGTTGTGGCAAAAAATTGGTTTTGTTATGGTATCTTTTGAACCTTTTGTCCAAATTTCACAGTTTAGCTGGAAAAAAAAAACCAACATAATTGCCAGATAAAAGCAATGAAATGAAACTGTGAAATTCATGCATTCAAATTTTGTACTTGAGTCTTGTGAGAAAAACATGCTCTGAAAATCCCTTTCTGAATTATTTATTTATACTGATTGTTTTGTTGGTTTTTTTCATTCTACATTTATGCTTTCACTTCATGAGCTAATCTAAATTACATTACAGTTATTTACATTACGAGAACAGCAGAGTAAGTCAAGACATTCTAGTGGCAGCACAGAGGAGACTATGAAATTGATGAGTAAAAATGATCATAAGGATGAAGTAAAACCTGAACATCTACCTAAGGTATGGCTTATATAAAAATATGGTGGTAAGGTATAATTGCCAATGGGACAACTATCCAAGGCCCGGATATGAAAAAATGTGTACAATTCAAACAAGAAAATTAGTGGCCTAATTTATAACAATACTGTGTCAATACAATTTATGAAACAAATGCGACAGATATATTTATGCTGGCTGAAGTCTTTTCTTTTAAATAAGTTAAAAACTGAGCAAAATATCTTGAGCATCAAGTTTGATGAAACAGTTATACTTAATTCACATTCATTGCAACCTCTGCCTTATAGTAGTAACTTGGGTAAAGTCAAATGTCCAATTCAAAACATCATCATTCTAACAGTTTATCATTTTTTGCCATGAAGTATAAATGAGCTCAATATTTTAATACTGTAAACCAACTTATTTTTGTGTTTAGCCATTTCTCTCCAACTTCGCGGCAATTTAATTTCACGATTTTCAAGTTTTTTTGGAGTAATTAAATAAGGAATAATCTGATTTATATATATTCGCGTTATTTTTCTACTCGCGAAAGTCTCAAAATAATTGCTTGCGGAAATTTGTTGGTTTACAGTATATAATATTCCATAAAGTTATTTCTATGTAACAAGATGCAGAGCTCTAAGATGTAACAGATATTCTTATGAAAGAAATCAGAGTACATCAGTTTTTATGAAAGATGAATTTCACACATCAGACTTAACATAGTTAATTTTTATGCCCCCACAACAGCAGAGGGGCCATTAAGTGTTATCCTTGTTCGACTGTATGTACATCTTGAAATTGGGTTTCCCTTCTCTAACTTTAGTTTGCCTCAACCAATTCCAAATGTTATGAAACTCATACATAATGCTTATCACCACAAAACACAGATCAAGTTTGAATTTGGGTGGCGTCACATTTACCGTTCTATAGTTGTGCCCTTTTACAAATGGCAAAAATGCTGAATTTTTCATTTCCGTTCTCTTACTAAAGTTTGCCTCCACCAAATGTTATGAAAATTATTGCCACATCACTCGGATCAAGTTAGAATTTGCGTCACGTTTACTGTTCTTGAGTTATGTCCCTTTATAACGTTATATGCGTCTGGGGCATCATCTGTGTCACATTCTCCATTTTTTTTACATGTTTGTTTTCATCAAAGGTCTGATTTCCTTTTGGTCTGTACCAACTGCCTCACAACTGATCTTATAAATTCAGTCAAACCTGCTTAAGAGACCACATGTATTAAGCAAAAACCTTTTTTATTAGACCATTAATTTAAGGTCCATCTGTAGTGGATTTCATATAGATTGAATCTGTAATAAAATACCACCTTTCTTATGAGACCACTTTTTTGCTCTCCCTTGAGGGGTCTCTTAAAACAGGTTTCAATATAAATGATGTTTTAACTAGACATAATATTGTAAATAAAGTTTGACTCATGAAATGGTGATTAAAAGTGTTTGTAAAAAACAATTTAAACAATAGTAACTTACAATTCATGTTTCTCGAATAGAAAGTGGTGATTTGATATTGTATTTTAGGTCACAAAACAACTTACTACTTTTAAAGAAACCCAGAAAATACTTTCTTCATTAAATTTTATGGTTATTTCAGAGATTATCCAATGGATCTATAGACCCTGATTCTGAAGTGAATAGAATTATAGAATTACAAGACACTGTTGAAAAACAAAATAGTGAATTAACTGCTACACGGACTAAGTTGTTAGAATTAACAAATAAGTGTACAGAATTAGAGGAAAGCTTAACTACAACTTCAAAAGATCTCATCAAATCACAAGAACAAGTGGTCAAGTTACAGAGAGATTTAAGAGAGGTGAGTTGGTGTTCTATCAGATTTTTTCTTTAGACGAACCCTTTTAATTATGTGTTATGGTCAGGTGATCACGAGGAGCAATATCATAAAGAGTGAAAAACAGCGACATTTTGGACCATCATAAAATTTTCAAAGATGGTACAAATTACTGAATGATATGGATACAGATTATGTTAAAAAGATGTATTTTGCTACAGAATACATCCACACAAGATATGAAATGCTCAAAATATAGGTCCAACAAATTGAACCTTTATTTCATGTTTAGTTGCCATGTTTAAAAGCCATATTTCATAGAAGAATATGCTTAAGTTATACTTGTAGATGCCAAAGATACAATTACATATATATTTCAAAATCATATTGTGAAGTTGGTGTTGTGTTCAATGATGACTTTTAAAGTGTCTAAAAACTGGAGTATGTTGATGATAGGCAATGGTTGGCAGCAGACAACCATTTTTGTTAACACAAAATATTCTTGTTTTCATTTTCAGCTGTTCTAACAGATATTGAGGAGGTTTTTTTTTTTAATTGCCTAATGAAATTTATTTTGAAATTCTTAAAATTAAGACAGAGGACAGAAAAAGTAAATCAAATGCTTCAAACTTGCTTTTCAGCAGTGTTATTGAGCCAATGCTCTCCAAAGACAGTTTGTTTAGGCTGTTTATGGGAATGACACTGATACAAATTTTTTTCTTAATATATTTCCAAATTCTAGATTTCAAGAGGTAGACATAATGTCTTCAGCAATACCCTAGTCTAGTCAAAGTTTTGAATAAACTTAATAGAGTCTTTAAGATCTGCCATCAATAACAAATTACCTAAAAGGACAAAAAACATTAAAAGAGATAACTAGAATATACCACTGACTGATTCATATCACCAATTCAAATTTTCAATATAATTTCTCAATGTCAATATACTATATTGGTTTTTTTCCAAGAATATATTAGTCATCAAATTCTTTTTAATTTGTTTATTTCAAAACTATATGCATGACAATTAATGTTTAATTATTGTCTTTTTTATACCAGTTTAAAGACATTATCAAAGATAATGTATTCCTTTTTTGTATTAATTATAATTCATTGAGTCAATGAATCTATAATCACCAAATTTGTTTATACTCCCACACTGTATTTAAATCTATATATAGCCTCTGGTGGCTTTGTGTAAAGTTGTTATCAGGAAAACCCTTTAAGTGAATTAACTACTAATTATTGATTGTTTTATGTTTTATAGTCATTAGCTCAGCGAGAAGACCAAGAGGAGAGGATTGCTACTTTAGAAAAACGTTATCTGAACGCCCAACGGGAATCAACATCACTTCATGATCTCAATGATAAACTAGAGTCAGAGTTAGCTACAAAAGAGAGCCAGTTAAAAAGTGTAAGTTTCACATGTGAAAATGACATGTATGATGGTATAGACAGAGTAATAGCATTTGTATTGGCAGGTATAAACAGTACAAATCAATGTGTATTTGAAGTGCAATCATTTCATTGAAAAGAATGTGTATAGAAAGGTATGAATAGATGAGTACAATTTGTGTGGGCATATTGTCTTTTTAAAACTGGGAATGGAAAAAAATTACATAATCATTTCTCTTTTACAAGTTGGATTTGATAAATATATAATTGTTTATATTAAAGATACAATAATCAATGGATGGATTGTTTATAAAAATAGACTTCAGTATTATTTGTGTTGACATGCTTGCAATGCAACATTCATGTGGAGGAGTAAATCTTGAAAAAAGTTACTGCAAACGTTAGTCCAGAATACTAATCATCATAGTCCAGAATACTAATCATCATTTTATATTATCAAGTTTAAACATTTAGATCTCAATCATTATTTAAAGTCAGATATTTAGAATGCATAATTTATTTGAAGGTATATACAAGTATATTGTTGGCGTTGGACGATTAATGAAATCCTGTTTGTGTATTCTTGGTTTTGATGCTTCCAAACATTTATATACTGTGGATTCATTTATTTTCGTGGGTATCAATTTTCGTGGATGAGGAAAACTTGTATTTTGGTGGAAATTTGAATCGTGGTTTTGCAAATCTCTGCATAAAAAGCCTATTGAAAATTTGTGATTAGTTGAACATTTGAATTCGTGGTTCACATGTTCCCACGAAATCCACGAAAATTGGTATCCAAGGAATAATTATGAATCCACAGTAGACATGGCATTTCAATCTTAAGTTTCAAGCATACCTACTGAAGATTGAATCTTCAGTCCCAGAAACCTGTGTTGTGCACATTGAAATGTGTATCATACATTGTATATACATACTAGTTAATTAAATTATGTGTGGGCCAGTCCAAGTGTTTGATAAAAGGTTAATTTTTCTAAAATACTTTAAAAGATATCATGGTTTTATCACAACTTTATTTAAACATATAAAAATTATATTGTATGGTTTATATCTATCATGTCTATGCATTAGGTGGAGAAAAAGAATAATGTCTTAAAATAATGCCAAAAAAAAAAGGTAATAGTATTTTATATTTTATAAAACCTAATGCAATTTCCTCTTCCTAAAATAAATAAAATATTTTTTTGTATTAAGTGCCAATCTGCCTAAGAATCAGGCAGTGGTGAAAACATGACAAACAAAAACCCACTCAAGTTGACATTAATTTATGTTCAAAATGTATAATGATGCACGAATATAAAATTCGTTTCCTTTTCCTGTACTGGTAATTCAAGATATGATTTGGTTGAAATGCACTAAAAATTAACAATTAAGGGGAGCTAACTCTGTAATTTGCTATCATTCTAACCAAAATGTATTTGGTGATTTCTCCAATTACCAGACACGCAGAAACGAAAGGCCTACCATTTCTAACTCAGGATGAGGGTAACTTCAAAATAGGATGGTTAGGTCGGTGGGTTTTTTCCGGCCATGTTTTGATTTTTTTCAAAATTGGCTGATTCTTACAAAGACTGGCACTTTAAAAAGCTCAAAAGAATTTCTTGTTTGCAAAACATAACATATATAAATTACATGACCTGAATATTGACCTGGTTGTTAATAATGTTATTAACATTGCAGACTGAGGAAAAGGTGCGAGCAACACAAGAAAAATTAGAACTTGCCGAACAAAAATTACAACAATCATTGAAAAAAGCTGAAGCATTGCCCACAGTAGAAGCAGAACTAGCTCAAAGATTAGAGGCATTAACTCAGGCAGAGGAACGTCATGGTTCAGCAGAGGAAAGAATGCAGTTAACAGAATCCAAACTACATGAGAAAGAAACTGAAATACAAAGGGTATATTTACTTAATATTTTTAATAAGTTCCTGATCTAATTAATCATGCACCAAATATTATTGTGCACCAGATATTGCTTTTTAAATCCAACATTATACTACTGCTACGAAGTAGCAGGGATATATAGTTTTTATCCATTCATCAGTCCCTAAGTCAGTGCAGACATATAGTTTCAGGATGCTAAATCATATACTATCCGCTATAATGGGAGTGTGAGCCAACCTTACCTGGGTAAACGGTCACATATGATAAGAGGAAGATCCCTTTTGATTTTTTAGTCAGCAGGTCTTAGGTCAAGGTCAAACTTTCTTAAAATAGATTTGTGCAACACAATACTTCTGTCTGAAATGACAAGAATCATGACTTAAAGTAAATAGAATTTCGTAGAAACAAGCCAGTTGTTAGATAAATGTATACTTTATAGTTCTCTAATTCATTTGCAGTGTCGACAAAGAGAAAAGATGAATGAAGAGCATAATACAAGATTATCACAAACTATAGATAAATTATTATCTGAATCTAACGAGAGGTTACAACTTCATCTAAAAGAAAGAATGCAGGCACTAGAAGAAAAAAATCAACTTACTCAAGAATTAGAAAGTGTCAATCAAGCTCTAGAAGAAATTCAGAATGAAAAAGTGAGTGCTGTTAGTCACCATGTATATCTAACTAATCTGGTTCATTAAAACTTGAGCTTTTAACTTTTAGGCCAAACCAAAAACAATAATGTTCGAATTTACTGTCTTAACCACCTTACACACACTACTGATAAGTAAAAACTTGTTTTGTAGGCAGAATGATATTTGAGAGTGACATCAAAAGTCAATTTGCAGTTTGTTAATTGCTGAACTATCTCCTAAAGCATTCATGTATTCAGGCATATTGTTGAGGCACCCTAATCAAACTAGACATTATTATAGCTAAAAAAAGCCAAGATTTCAAGATCAAAAATTATATCAGGACCAGTTAATTTAAGCTGTATAGTATAAAACTAGTATTTCTTTGTCCAAGATGTATGAAGAAACAACAGTTTTGATAAGCTTTATGTGATGTGAAGTATTTTTAAACCACAACTGAATGTTTTGTTAAACAGACACTTGGTTCAATAGTGTGTTTACTCAATATTGAACTAAGAATGACTACTTATCCTTGTTACTGTAAATTCAGTAATTAATATGCATATTTATGATTAATTAATGGTATTAATGGTTATATCTAGAACGTATTTATTCATGATACTTACTGCCTAGAAAATGAACATTCATTTTACTTTAAGTATGAAAAACCCACAAATTAGACATGTTTTGTTTCTTTGCAGGAGAGAATGAATGAAGATTTAGCGCGAGCTAAAAAAGAAATAGATACTCTTAGGCAGCAACTTGAATACCTGGCAAGGTAAGTGTTTAGTTGTCAGAAGCTGTAGTGATTTAAGTAAGTAAGTGACTATAGAAAAAATGGAAGGAAAGAACAACCTTGAAATGACAGTATTGATTGAGAACTTTATTTTGTTAATTTATCAATAAGCCTTGTCAAAATTCAACATTTTGAAGATGTTCAATCCTACCAGAGTTTGCTGGTCACCAATTTTTACAAGAACTCTTTAGCTGAATAAAAAAGAAATTGCTTTATCAATAGAAATACAAATTTTGATATTTGTATAGTTCAGAAAAATTAAAAAGTAATATTTATGAGTTAGGATTTTAAATAGTAACTTGGTAGTTTGTTGTGAATTCTGTTTATGTATAAATAGTATTAGTAATACAATATTTCCATTTTTAGGCCAGGATCTGGGTATATGTTACAGAGTCCAAGTGAAATATCACGGCGGCCAAATCGCGGCAGGGAACAAGCTCTTAATGATGATCCTACAAAAGTATGTTTGAATCATTCCTAGTATATATATCAATAATGGTCACAGATTATTACACAAAATGACATGTATAATGCCACCATCTTTTTGAGCAGTCAAATCGTGTTGACTCTTAGATATTTGTGGTAAAATCACTTAACAGTAGAAGAGAGACGAAAGGTACCAAAGGGATATTCAAACACATAAGTCAAAAACAAACTGACAATGACATTGCAAAGAACTTAAAACAACAAATAGACAAACATAACTATATCTAGGCACTTAGAAAACTAATGAACCCCACCAAAAACCAGGGCTGATCTCAGGAGGTATTTTCAGCTAGCTCGGTTATTCCTGAGGATTACATAAGATTGCACTTTTATATGAAAAAGTTATATAACTTTAAAAATTGACTGATAATTGGAAAGTTGCAAAAACTTTAAAGTAAATATCTTATCATAGTTTCTGTCTATGCAATTTGTATGCTTACAGGTCAACTTCACAAAGCAAGAGTTAAGTTGAAACATCTTCTTTCATTTTGTGTAAGAGTGTTAATTATAGCAATATTCATTTATAAAAATGTAGCATTTATATCTGAATTTACAGTAATAAAAAGTAAGTGCTGTTCCATTTAAACATACATGGCATCCAGGGAAGGCACTTTAAAAATGGGGTAACACCCTGTAGATGGAATTTCAGAATTTCACTTCAAATTTTATTGAACATAAAAAATTTTGACACTCGCCCATAGTTGAAGTTTTGAAGTGCCTTCCCTGGGTCTGACTCTCATGTATGTTTTTATGGAACAGCCCGAAGAAGATATAGAGGCTAGACGAGGGGCAGTTTGTTTTAAATGTCATGGTTAATGCTTTTCTTTTCATAATAGGTGAATACATTAAATGAACAGGAATGGGAGAAGATACAACAGCAGCATGTGTTAGCTAATGTCCAACATGCATTTGATACCAGTGATACCGAGGAAGATAGCGAGTCCGTTCTCGGAACATTTGACATGTTGTCACCTAGTGGACATACAGATGCCCAAACCTTAGCCTGTATGCTTCAGGAACAACTCGACGCAATAAATAATGAAATAAGGTATGCTGTTTGTATCCAAAATTTTAATGCTTTAATTGCCTATTGTGTAGGTCACATAAAACTGAAAGATAGATTGTCATCCATCTACATGTCTGTAAAAAATATTTATTTCTAAAATGTTATAAGAATTAACATATCTGTAAAGGAATAGTCATTGAATTTCTGTTTTATACATTTATTTACAACAATAAACAACATATCCAATTATTTAACAATATTAGTTGGTCATTGTCAAAACTCAAATATAACTGCCTCTTTATAAGGTATATAAAATAACTGACTTTCTCACATGGATGGATGAAAATTTGTAAGTTTTATTGGCCTTAGATTTGCAGGTTAAAAAATATTCAAGAAATGATTTTGATTATTGCTTAAATCAGGATAATGTGTTTTATCAATCTGATAACATTTCTAAAAAGAAAAGATGTATTCCATCATTATTGCATAGTATTTAATCAGATTTTACCTGTCATTTGATGTTGTTGCTTTGCTGTTTTACTTTTGAGTTTTAAACATTTTCAGTTTGCTTTCTATTATTATTATTATTGACACAAGCAATTATTTGAATGAAATGATATAGCTAAGGACTATTCTAGAAAAACTTTTCTGGGGAATTTTAGAGACACTTGTATCTAATTTTCTATGAGTAGTTGAGTCTAAAGCTTATTTTAGCATTAAGTATATGGTAAAAGAATAATAGACATTGGGGCTTCTGAAATGTGTCCCAACTGATTCGGTCTTGTAAATCTGCAATTAATGTGTTGTATATATTCCAGAAAATTTGCATTGAACAATTTATCCCGATGCTAATGTTTTTTTTATCGGTTATGTAATAGAAAGGAATTGCTTTAATTAATAAATAGTAAAAGAAGGCTATGAGAAGAAAAATTGATAAAGGCACAGTTACTTAGGTTTTAATATATTATCATTCATACTCAGTTCATGAATTTTGATTTGGTCTTATAGTCAGTGTGATCATACATGTAGAACCTTTTTTTTTAATAGTTGTTCGTCACTGGACAGAAATCAAACAACAAACAAATTAATCTTTATAGTTGTTTTCTGGTGTAAAATCGTTATCCTCAAAATTTAGTACAACTGAAATTTGTGTAAAGATTAAAGATCAGAAAAGTTATCACTCTTGGATATTTACTTCAGGAAGTTAGATTGGGGTCACAGCTAAAATACTAGATAAGAAATACTTTATCTTTTATACTAATACCTGTAATATATAATCTTTTTCAGTGAAATTAATGAAAAAACAAATCCACAAGGGTAATTTGTAGTTCATTTATTTATATCAATCTTCAATCTTTGTCTTGTGTGTAATTAACAGGGGAAATAACTCTTGTCTCTGTCTTATAACATTATACTGGGATACAAGTCTTGTAATAACAGTGTATGATATGACAGCCAGTACATATTTTATTTGAATTTGGATTTAACTGAAAAATAATTAATTTCAAAAGCCAACACAAGTTTAGAATATTCCATATTTAAAAACGAAGTTGAGAGGAAAATCTTTTAAAAAAAGACAACGGAAATTAAATCTGAAGAAAATGATAGTAAAAGATGCATAAAAACTCAGTTGATTAAAACCCTATGGTCCATCAGTACTACCCATTCATAGACAAAGATTTGCATTTTTTGCTAGATTCTTTGTATGTTAAAATTCTATTCAATATGCATTTGATAATCTATATTTGCAGTCTTTCTTATATTTAAAAATCGCCACTGCATACATATAATATGCATTTAACATTGAGTTTAGATGTAAAACTCTTCTACCACATCTATACAATTATATCATATTAGCTTGTAGTGAATATAACATGCTTTAAGTGTAACATTAAACTTTGACGACAGCTTATTGCTAGATTTCAAGCAAAATTTGTATGCAAATTATTTTTTATATTTTCTCGACTAGTAATATTCTATAGAATGTTCTCTATTATAATGTTCCTATCATCACTTACATATTGATACTCAAATTTATTAATCAATTTACATTCAGGTTTTAGAACTATTTGATTGTACATGAAATGTCTTGTGAAAATTGTTCTTTTAAAATTTTTAACCATAAAGCTGGAAAGAAGACATTCACATATGATTGATTATGTGCACTCCCATACATGAAGAGAGTGAACTAGTCTCCAGGGGAGGGGAATAACAATTGTGCAATCATCTAGAAAAACCTATAGGAGGGGAAAACAAGTAATGCCAAATAAGAATACCAACGGTTTGGGTCAATTTATATGGATTTGGTATCTCATATTATGTAAATTAATTTACATTGTTTTTGTTCTAGATGGATTTTCAATTTGTATATGTAGTCCATTTTTATACTGTCGCAAAAATTTTTTGCGGTCGTATATTGGTATCATGTCGTCGTCTTCATCGTAGTCCGCGGCGTCAGCGTCGTCCATAGACATTTGGTTTCCGGACAATAACTTTAGTTTAAGTATATGGATCTCTATGAAATTTTATCAAAAGGTTCAATACCACAAAAGGAAGGTTGGGATTGTTTTTGGGGGTGATGGTCCTAACCATGTAGGAACTAGGGGCCAAAACAAGCATTTTTCTAGTTTCAGGACAATAACTTGTGTACAAGTATTTTGATTGCTCTGAAATTGTACCACAAGGTTCAATACCACAAGTAGAAGGTTGGGATTCATTTTGGGGGTAATTGCCCTAACCGTTCAGGAATTAGGGGCCAAAAAGGGTCTAAAACAAGCATTTTTCTAGTTTTCAGACAATAACTTGTGTTTAAGTGTATGGATGTCTCTTAATTTGTACCACATTTTACAAGAAGAAAATTTCTGCAAAATTATTTTTTTTGGAAGGGGGTAAAAAAAAAAAATTTTTTTTGGGGGGGGGGGGGGGGGGGGATTTTTTTTCCTCTAAAGAAAATTCTCTTCAAATATTTTTTTTTTGGAAGGGGGGGGTAAAAAAAATTTTGGGCTGGTCAATTTTTTTTCCCTCAAGATGTAAGAAATTGTCAATTTTCAAAAGAAAAATGGGGGGGGGGGGGGGGGGGGGGGGTCACAATTTATTTTGCTAATTCTTTGTATATAGTCTGAAAACAGATTTACTAAGTATTGCGCAACAGCACAGTGTTTGGCACAACAGCAAGAAATATAAATCAAATCATACAATTTCAAGTTCTTAGACTACATTTATTCTGTGTCAGAAACCTACAATGTGTCAAATATTTAATTACAATCCAAATTCAGACCTGTATCAAGCTTGAATATTGTGTCCATTTTTGCCCCAACTGTTCAGGGTTGGACCTCTGCGGTCGTATCCAGCTGCGCTCGGCGAAGCAGTTTATTCAAGTTGATATCAGGTTGATATTTATTTTTAAAGATATTTTCATTTTCTTTGATATATTTTCAGTTAACATCATTACATATATTTTCCATTTTTAGTTAAAATCATTAAGTTGCAACTTCTGAACAAGCATATTTAGTATCCACTTTCATATGCTTCATTGTTATGTAGATTTTTTATTTAATTAGAAATGATTTTTGCATGGTCATATTTTTTAAGAATTTTATTTAGATTTGCCATCCAAATATTGATTTTGTTGTTGTGCATGTACACATTAAACTTGTTAATTCAATTTGTTTAAAAATACAGATTTTTCAGGACCAAATTTTTATGGTATTAGACAAATAACTATATCTAAAAGATCTTCCTCTTTCAGATTGATTCAAGAAGAAAAAGAATCGACAGAACAAAGGGCAGAGGAATTAGAAAGCAGGGTAGGCAGTGGAAGTCTTGATGCTATCGCCAGCAGATGGCGTACATCTCCACCCCTCAGTGGTAGCTCCACCCCTACACCCAGGACGATTTTGTCCAGAGATTACCTACAAAAATATCACACTGTAAGTCCCATGGAGTCAGCACTTCTCGTAACTTTTGGTGTTTTCAGACTTTTTTCATTGCTGACTCCAGAAATTACTTAAAAAGCATGCTCTATCATTTGAAATATTAACACCATATAAAGTATCACAAAAATTTCAAACAGTCTATAAAGTGTCATTGTTTTGATGCATTTGGGAAAAAATATAGATATTTCTAAATAATATTCAGGCAGAATATAAATGGAACAGACCTTTCAATTTTCTAAAATTTGTGTTTTTAATTTGATGTATTATTTTATTTGATGCATCTCTGCAAAAAAAAAAAAATGAACTTATAAATAAAAGTATTAACTTTTTGTGTTTGGTTATATGATCTTTAAACATGATCTAGGTCAAGGAAGAAACTAGAAATTAATTAAATCAATATAATAAACCCTGTTTTTAAATTTGAAATATACAAACTGCAGCAAAAATATACTTCTTTGTAACAGTCCTATAAAACTGCCATATTGAAATTTTAATTTGATAGACTTTGCCTCTAAAAAGAATCATGTATTTAAAACCATTGGGTGCCAGGGTCATGTAAATATGTTATTATTATTTCCTCAACAAAAATTATTTACTGGTATGTTTTAAAGGTAATAATGTGTTTTAATGGTCAGTGGTTTACAGTACTTATTCAAATTGATTAACTCTGAAAATTATCACTGTTAGCTTTATTCATGTCTTTCGTAAAAGTTAGAACTTAACCGTTTTTTTTACTTATTGAATTCCTTTTCAATATTTCAAGATTATTTGTTGTTACCAATATTGCAACTTGTAACAACGAAAAAATGAAGCTTTCCAATCTTTGTAAATAAAGAAGTAGAAGTCTAAGAATTTTTCGGTTATTATTTTTTGTTACATCTTTATTTCTAAATGATAGAGCATGTTCACTTTTGGTTTTTAGCATGACAGTATCACACGTATTTGCTGTTGTATCTGAAAATTTGTATTATATATATTTAGAAGTGGTATTTTCCTTATATTCAATTATTATTAGATGTGTTATTTGCTAAAACACATATATTAGATACATATATAGATATATATTTATATATTTGGAATTCATTTTGCATTTCATTTGAAATTTTCCATCTTTTAGTTCAATTGGTGTATTGAGCTATCACAAATTTCTTATTTAATGTATTTATCTGAGTTAACTCCCCTTTCTCCTCCCTCTGCTGGCACATCAATTTGTTGTATGTTAATAGTAGTCTAGTAGATCATATTAAGTATTGAAAATACATCACATCAAAGCATACAATATACAGACACCTCTTTAAAAGTTTTGAATAAACTTGTAAAATTCTTGTGAAGTGAAATGTATTATTATTTTATATACATTGTATATTCATTCAATACATGATGTATACTATTCTTCTGAAATTAAGTAGCCTGTGAATGGCTGAATTGCAGTTTAAAGTTAATTTGCTTAAATTTTTAGAAATCTAAAATCATCTTCGATATTTTCAAAATAGGAAAAAAGGGGAACCAATATTAACAGTTGTTTCTTTTTTCTGATTTCAAATTCTTTTCATTTATCAGTTGATTTCTTCATTATTCGAAGAAAGAAAAAATTGAGTTGTATTGCATGTGTGCAGTATCAAATTGACGGTGATTCTAAGTGTCATAATTATAATATTGATATTGCATGTAAATATATAATGGCTATCTCAGGAAAAACTTTTTTTTGAAGTTTTTGGTAGTTGCGTACACTGAAAAAAGGAGTTTTAATTGAAGAGAGAGAGAAAATATTTTGGTTGATAAAACTAGATCTACCAAAATGTAAATTTTTCCTGGAATATGCCTAATTTCACTTGATATGCATGTCTGTTGTCTTTATTCTATCACCATCTTGCATGCTCTTGCACTGTAGACATTTTTGTACAGCATCAATTATATTCATCAATTTTTTTATGTAGTCCAATATCAGTAAAAATGTTCTGACACTTCATATTAAAAAAAAAAAAAAATTGGAAATTTATAGTTTCACAAGGAAAAAAAGTAGTTTGGCGATTTTGTACGATAATTTTAGTACATCTCGTTTTGTGAAGAAAAAAAATAATATACTTAATACTGGTATATTGGAAAAGAGCATATTTAAAAAGATATATATACATATTTGGAAAACTCATATAGAATAAAAGCAAAGTTATTGTTGAATTTCTTTCAAAGCAAATGGAATGGCTTCATTTCTTGTTATAAGCTTTGATTTATAAGTAAAAAATGCCTATCAAGTTATGTCTTCTTAGCTTGTATTAACATTCTGACTACTATTGAACAAGAAATGTTATTTATCCTCCACTATAGGCCCCTGCAGGAATGTCAGCTTCACATCTATATACTTATTCCTCATCTAGTCCACAGTTGGCTACTGCCACCACAGCTGAATCTATTAACCAGGTAACTATATACACCTTTCAATAACCATGTATCTATTCATTAACCAATATACACCTTTACCATTCATTAACCAGGTAACTATATGCACCTTTCAATAACCAGGTATCTATTCATTAACCAATATACACCTTTACCATTCATTGAGCAGGTAACTGTATACACCACTGCCATTCATTAACCAGGTAACTATATACACCACTGCCTTTCATTAACCAGGTTACTGTATACACCACTGCCATTCATTAACCAGGTAACTGTATACACCACTGCCTTTCATTAACCAGGTTACTATATACACCACTGCCTTTCATTAACCAGGTTACTGTGTACACCACTGCCTTTCATTAACCAGGTAACTGTATACACCACTGCCTTTCATTAACCAGGTTACTGTATACACCACTGCCATTCATTAACCAGGTAACTGTATACACCACTGCCTTTCATTAACCAGGTTACTATATACACCACTGCCTTTCATCAACCAGGTAACTGTATACACCACTGCCATTCATTAACCAGGTAACTGTATACACCACTGCCTTTCATTAACCAGGTTACTGTATACACCACTGCCATTCATTAACCAGGTAACTGTATACACCACTGCCATTCATTAACCAGGTTACTATATACACCACTGCCTTTCATTAACCAGGTAACTGTATACACCACTGCCTTTCATTAACCAGGTTACTGTATACACCACTGCCATTCATTAACCAGGTAACTGTATACACCACTGCCATTCATTAACCAGGTTACTATATACACCACTGCCTTTCATTAACCAGGTAACTGTATACACCACTGCCATTCATTAACCAGGTAACTGTATACACCACTGCCTTTCATTAACCAGGTTACTGTATACACCACTGCCATTCATTAACCAGGTAACTGTATACACCACTGCCATTCATTAACCAGGTAACTGTATACACCACTGCCATTCATTAACCAGGTAACTGTATACACCACTGCCATTCATCAACCAGGTTACTGTATACACCACTGCCATTCATTAACCAGGTTACTATATACACCACTGCCTTTCATTAACCAGGTAACTGTATACACCACTGCCATTCATTAACCAGGTAACTGTATACACCACTGCCATTCATTAACCAGGTAACTGTATACACCACTGCCTTTCATTAACCAGGTTACTGTATACACCACTGCCATTCATTAACCAGGTAACTGTATACACCACTGCCATTCATTAACCAGGTTACTATATACACCACTGCCTTTCATTAACCAGGTAACTGTATGCACCTTTCAATAACCAGGTATCTATTCATTAACCAATATACACCTTTACCATTCATTGAGCAGGTAACTGTATACACCACTGCCATTCATTAACCAGGTAACTATATACACCACTGCCTTTCATTAACCAGGTTACTGTATACACCACTGCCATTCATTAACCAGGTAACTGTATACACCACTGCCTTTCATTAACCAGGTTACTATATACACCACTGCCTTTCATTAACCAGGTTACTGTATACACCACTGCCATTCATTAACCAGGTAACTGTATACACCACTGCCTTTCATTAACCAGGTTACTGTATACACCACTGCCATTCATTAACCAGGTAACTGTATACACCACTGCCTTTCATTAACCAGGTTACTGTATACACCACTGCCATTCATTAACCAGGTAACTGTATACACCACTGCCTTTCATTAACCAGGTTACTATATACACCACTGCCTTTCATTAACCAGGTTACTGTGTACACCACTGCCATTCATTAACCAGGTAACTGTATACACCACTGCCTTTCATTAACCAGGTTACTGTATACACCACTGCCATTCATTAACCAGGTAACTGTATACACCACTGCCTTTCATTAACCAGGTTACTGTATACACCACTGCCATTCATTAACCAGGTAACTGTATACACCACTGCCTTTCATTAACCAGGTTACTATATACACCACTGCCTTTCATCAACCAGGTAACTGTATACACCACTGCCATTCATTAACCAGGTAACTGTATACACCACTGCCTTTCATTAACCAGGTTACTGTATACACCACTGCCATTCATTAACCAGGTAACTGTATACACCACTGCCATTCATCAACCAGGTTACTATATACACCACTGCCTTTCATTAACCAGGTAACTATATACACCACTGCCATTCATTAACCGGGTAATTAAATACACCATTCATTAATCAGAATGTGAGTTTAAATTTATATATTAATGGCAATAATTAATACATCACAAAATTTCGGTCTTTCGTGATCAGTATATTAAACTTTGCTTCATCTATATACAACTGCTGTCAAATTTTTATGCACCCCACAAATAACTGTTTGGTCATGCCTGTCAAGATGGTCCTTTTGATATTGATATAGTAAGTTAGATTACTTTTAATGGAATAACTGCCTTTGTTCAAATCTTGTCATACTGTTTCAACTCATCTTCAAGATCACAGTTCTAGTTATACCCTACGCAACGAGTTGCGGAGGGTATAATGTTTTTGACCTGTCCGTCTATCTGTCCGTCCGTCCGTCCGTCTGTCTGTCCATCAGTCAGTCCTATTTCTTGTCATCGCAACTTCTTTCAAACCACACAACAGAATTTCACGAAACCTTTTTAGATAATAAGGACATACTATGTAGTTGTGCATAGCGACAGGAAATTACGATTCAATTTTTTTTCTAGGAGTTACGCCCCTTTGAACTTATTTACTTTAATGTACTACTGCTACAGTTTGTCATCACAACTCCTCTCAAACCACACAGCAGAATTTCATGAAACCTTTCCAGATAATAAGGACATACTACGTAGATGTGCATATCGACAGGAAATTACGATTCAATTTTTTTTCCAGGAGTTACGCCCCTTTGAACTTATTTGCCCAATATTCTTCTGCAACCTTTTGTCATCGCAACTCCTCTCAAACCACACAACAGAATTTTATGAAACCTTTTCAGATAATAAGGACATACTACGTAGATGTGCATATCTACAGGAAATTACGATTCAATTTTTTTTCTAGGAGTTACGCCCCTTTGAACTTATTTGCCCAATATACTACTTCAACCTTTTGTCATCGCAACTCCTCTCAAACCACACAACAGAATTTCATGAAACCTTTTCAGATAATAAGGACATACTACGTAGATGTGCATATCGACAGGAAATTACGATTCAATTTTTTCCCCAGGAGTTGCGCCCCTTTGAACTTATTTGCCCAATATACTGCTGCAACCTTTTGTCATTGCCACTCCTCTCAAACCACACAATAGAATTTCATGAAACTGTGTAGATAATAAGGACATACTATGTAGATGTGCATATTGACAGGAAATTATGATTCAATTTTTTTTTCTGATACAATTTTTTTTTCTTACACTTATTTTATTTCTCCAATGACAATGTGGGGACGTGGGGTATGTAAGCGTGCTCACTAAGGTTTTTTTCATTTGAAATCTTTTAAATGCCATATAATCATTATATGTCAACCAGTGTAGATGATCATTGTTTAAAAAGGATGACCTCCATGTATTTTGATTGTCAAATTACCTGTATAAGATTAAAAATAATGGATCTTCACATTTTGCTGGATATATGTTCTGATTAATTTGTTCTTGATAACAATAGCTATTGGTTTAGATGATTCTAGTCTAGCGTCAATCCTTTCATTCTCTTCCTTCTATCCCCATGTGGACATTTGTATATGTCAAGGAGTCTTTTGTGAAAGAAATACATGTATTTTGATATTTAGATCATTATATAAACAAACACAATGGACCAATTTAGTAATGGTGTTTCTTCATGGGATTGTCTATTCTGGACCATTTGATTAGACCAGACTTAGCATACAAGGACACTGAGACAGCATAATTTAATTTATGAAGACCTAAGTTAAATTTCTGAATGGGTCCATTTTCCATTTCCTTGTAATAGTATCCAATATTTGATTACCATTTTATTTGCATGTATTACTTTTAAACAAAAGGATGATATATAGCAAGCTTTAATAATGCTTACGGAACAATATTTACCTTAGAATCATATATAGATAGTTACTTTCTAACTTAGCTTTATAATATCCCCATCAGAAGTCACATACCACATCTTGAACACAATTCATTATAGTATTTTTATATAGAAATTTTAGAAGTAATATTCTTGGAAATTTGTGTTGGTGTTAAAATCATGATAGAACTTTTTGGCACAAATGCCAAGGATGATGCGTCATCAATTTCATAATGACTTTCAAAAGTTCTATTGAGTTTTTTTAACAGAAAAACTAAAATGTTAATTCAAAACCAGAAATGTAAATAATTTAGAACAGTTAATACACAACACAGATTATAGTGTGGATTATACTAATCCCTGAAGAAAGTGGTATGTTTCATCTATTTGTAATTAGATACTAATAACATAATCAAGTATATTTAACAATGCCTATATATGACAAAGACCTTATTTTTGAACTTTGTTTTTAAAGCAGCAGTATAGTCGTGATGATTCAGCTGTGAATGAAGAAGCCATGACGATAAAGTGTGAATCTAGTCCCCCAACTCCTCGGTCTTTACGTCTGGAGAGAATAGCCACAGCAATAGCTCAAACATCTAATCCAACAAATGAAGATTCGGTTTTATCTTCAACACCAAAGTAAGTATAGGTACTAAATATCAGTTACATGCTGTAGAGGAGCCTTATGAGAAGAAAAAACTTGTATTTCTGTGCTTTTTGTCTTTACATCTTAGTAGTCCTAGTGAAATTTATAGCAAAAAGAATATGTTTAAACTGACATTAAAATGGCTGGGTACTTGACACTAAACAGCTCATTTTGCCACTAGAATTGTTAATTTGTATCAATATTTTATCAAACATAACACAGTTGTTCCTTAAAAACAGTTCTGTGAAATATTATTTTCTGAAGTTATTTTATACCATAAGTATTACTTTTGTCTTGCACCACAATCACAACCTTTGCAAAGGAGCTTTAAGACAAGTAGATTCAAGGCTATTCCACAATATTTGTTTAAGTAGTGCTCAGTTTCATATTTACCATATATCTTTTTAGATACATCACTATCACTATTATCCATTTGTTTTATGACTTCATGTTTTCTATTTGTGTAGATCTGTGATAGATACCATGCAAGCAACAGCTAGTCCATTTAGTTCTACCAGTAGCAGTCAAGATTCTCTATCCAAAAATCAAAAGAAAAAGGGAATTAAAAGCTCACTGGGAAGTTTCTTCAAGAAAAAAGGCAAAACGAAGGAAGGCATAAACCGAGAAATGACACCTGTTGGTATGTATATGTGTGAACAAGGTGATCATTATGTACAGTTCACTGAGATTTGAATAAGACATAGTGAAGATGCTCCACTATAACATATTACAGGTTGTTATGCACCATCGGCGATAATAAGGGGCATTATGTTTTTTGGTCTGTGCCTCCATCCATTAGTTTGTCTTTTCCGTACACGGTTAAAGTTTGGCTTGAAGTGGTCACATTAACTTAAAATTGAAACTTAGTACACATGTTCATTGTGATGTGAACTTTTTTTTTTAAATAATGCCAAATAAGGTAATGATTTGTATGTTGGACAGTTGTCTCATTGGCAATTATACCACATCTCCTAATTGTATAAAGGTTATGACATAGATTTAGCAGTTCACTAAACCTGTAATGTGATAGTGTGAGTAGGATAAGGTGTCAAATGGATGCATAGTCTTGTTAAATATTTATTTTAAGGAAAAGTATTGTCCATCAAAAGTTTTTTTTAATCTAATTCATTTTTTTAGGTGGAGGATTTGGTGAAATGGGTGATGTAAGTGCTGGTGATGCTTTAACACTAGGACTTGGCCAATCAGAATATGATCGACGCAAGAAAAAGAAGTAGGTGGAGAATTATTGAATATAAAAGGTTCAAATTATAATAGACATGGTTTTAAAAAATAATCTGAAAAAATAAAAAAGAGCAAATTAGTTGGCTTTATGTGTACATGGACAGTCATGGTAATGTTTGCAGAAAAAATCTTTTTATGAAAGAGATGCCCAATAAGAAATGGAAGATGGGATTTATGTAAATTTTTGAAGGTAATGAATAACATTTGAAAACTGTTTCAGGTATATTTAAAAATCATGCTGTTATTTTACTGGATAGAAATTAGTATTATGTTTTCATGCCCCAGCCAATTAAGTTTTACCCTTGTCCATCCGTACGTACGTACATCCCAAAGTTGGTATCGGTTCTCTAACTTTAGTTTACCTCTACCAAATGTTATCAGACTTATACACAATGCTTATTACCACAAAACACAGATCAAGTTTGAATTTTGGTGGTGTCACTTTAACCGTTCTAGAGTTATGCCCCTTTACAAATGGAAAAATTGCTGAATTTTGTTTCCGTTCTTTATCTTTAGTTTGCAAAAACCAAATGTTATGAAACTTATACATAATGCTTATTACCACAAAACACAGATCGAGTTCGAATTTTGGTGGCATCACTTTAACCGTCCTAGAGTTATGCCCCTTTACAAATGGAAAAATTGCTGAATTTTTCGTTTCCATTCTCTAACTTAAGTTTGCCTCAACCAAATGTTATGAAACTTATACACGATACTTATTACCGCAAAACTCAGATCAAGTACAAATTTAGGTAGTGTCACTTTCACCGTTCTTCAGTTATGTCCTTTTATAACTTTATATGATATGCAAGCGGGGGCATCATCTGTGTCCCATGGACACATTCCCCATTTATTAATTTAATGTTTATCCCATTCATTCCAGCATGCCATGAACAAATTGCTCAACTGTAATAACTATGATAATGAAATGAAATAGCTTTGGTCTGACATATGAAATTACATTGGTGTTTGAATTATTTTTCAGGCATGAATTATTAGAAGAAGCAATGAAGGCTGGTACTCCATTTGCTTTATGGAATGGTCCTACTGTTGTAGCATGGTTAGAGGTTGGTGTTTCTTAAATCAAAAAATAATCTTATAAATCACTTTTCTAGGGCCATAGTTGCATGTTTTTCTTTTAATTCCCCTACTGACTTCGTCGAAGGGGACTCTAGGTTTGCATTCTGTCTGTCTGTCTGTCTGTCTGTCAGTCCGGCAAATAAATTTTCCACACTTTTTTCTCCCTGCTTGAAGATATTAATTTGATATTTTCATGACATGTTATAGATCAAGATCCAATTTTTTTTCCGGTCTGATAATTTTGTGCAGAGTTATGGTCCTTGGACTTAGAAAATTCACTAAAATAATCAGTTTTCCACACTTTTTGTCATCATGCTTGATGATATTAGCTAGATATTTGTTATATAGTTTACACATTATGACAAGTTATAGATCAAGTTAGCATATTGTTCCAGTACAATTAATTTTTAACTGGTGGGGGACTATGTATTGCCATGCAATACTCTCAGAATGCTTGTTGATAGTTGATTTTGCAGTATACATGCAATTTAAGCAGTACCGAATTCAGTCTTGTATAGTTCACGGTTTTATTTTCCAAAATTGAACCTGCCAGACAGGGGTGCGGATTATAGAGTACAATTAGCAAGAAATAAGAGAAAAATTCCGACTTTGCGAGGTTAAATTGTAAGGGCGCTTTTATCATTTTCAAATCTAATAATTTATCTAATCCATATTAATATGCAATTTTTATTCAATATCAAATATAAACTGATAAATTACAAAATTAAATGCTTCATTACAAATTTCTTGTTTCTTTTCACTGCATTGCATAAAATAAACTGGAATCTGCTTGAATTTAACGAAATGAAAAAGGTGTACAAGTCAGTCTGGAACCAGCTTATGCATTACGATGCATAAACTTCAAAATGTAATCGTTTATTCGTTTCGTTTTGGTGTTTCATACTGACGCATGTGTTTTGTTTTAGCTTAAGATCCTTCAAACATGTATGTGATGGATATGTTAAACATTATTTTACATAAGGATGGAACTGTTTTACTTTCAACGTCATATTCTAGTGATATCTATTAAGTACAGATTTTCCGTACACTCTCACTGTATTTATTTTTATTTACACATGCTATTAGAAATTCTGGTTTAAACAAACACAAAATTCTCAATTTTTATACGACCGCAAAAATTGAAAATTTTTTGGTCGTATATTGGTATGACGTTGGCGTCGTCGTCGTCGTCGTCGTCGTCGTCGTCGTCGTCGTCGTCGTCGTCGTCGTCTGGCGTCGTCCGGCGTCGTCCGAAGACACATTGGTTTTCGCACTCTAACTTTAGTTTAAGTGAATGGATCTCCATGAAATTTTACCATAAGGTTTAATACCACGAAAGGAAGGTGGGGATTGATTTTGGGGGTTATGGTACCAACAGTTAAGGAATTAGGGGCCAAAAAGGGGCCAAAAATAAGCATTTTTGTAACTTTCAGACAATAACTTGTGTGTAAGTGTATGGATCTCTCTGACATTGTACCACAAGGTTCCATATCACAAAGGGAAGGCTGTAATTGATTTTGGGGGTAATTGCCTCAAAATTTTAGGAATTAGGGGCCAAAAAAGGGGCAAAAAACAAGCATTTTTCTAGTTTCATGACAATAACTTGTGTGTAAGTGTTTGGATATTTCTGAAATTGTACTACAAGGTTCCATATCACAAAGGGAAAGCTGGAATTGAGTTTGGGGGTAATTGCCCGAAACGTTTAGGAATTGGGGGCCAAAAAGGGGCCAAAAATAAGCATTTTTCTAGTTTCCAGACAATAACTTTAGTTCAAGTGTATGGATCTCTCTGAAATTGTACTGCAAGGTACCATACCACAAAGGGAAGGCTGGGATTGAGTTTGGGGGTGATGAATCATAAGGGGGTTCAAAACATTTGGGGGGGGGGGATTTTTTTTTTTTTCCTTTTTTTTTTTTCTTTTAAAATTTTCCATTTTAAGTTGGTTATTTCTGATTAATATTTAAAAGCAAATAATAATGATATGGTAGGAGATACACACCAAACAGGATGTGTAAATTATTATATAATAAGTATTGTGCAATAGCAAGAAATTTTCAATTGCACAGTATTGCACAATTGCAAGAAATCTTCAATTGCACAGTATTGCGCAATAGCAAGAAATCTTCAATTGCACAGTATTGCGCAATAGCAAAAAATATCCAATAGCACAATATTGCGCAATAGCAAGAAATTGTCAATTGTACAGTATTGCACAATAGCAAGAAATATTCAATTGCACAGTATTGTGCAAAAGAAGATACTTCATATAAATTGCTTATTTCTTGATCAATTTCAATGGGGTTTTTTTCTTGAATTCTTGGGGTTCTTTAATATGCTGAATCTAACCGTGTATTAAGTTTTTGGATTTTGGGCCCCGTTTTTAAATTGGTCCACATTGAGGTCCAAAGGGTCCAAAATTTAACTTTGTTTGATTTCATCAAAAATTGAATTATTGGGGTTCTTTGATATGCCGAATCTAACCGTGTATTTAGATTCTTAATTTTTGGTTCCGTTTTCAAATTGGTCTACATTAAGGTCAAAAGGGTCCAAAATTAAACTTAGTTTGATTTTAACAAAAATTGAATTTTTAGGGTACTTTGATATGCTGAATCTAAACATGTATTTAGATTTTTGATTATGGGCCCAGTTTTCAAGTTGGTCCAAATCGGGGTCCAAAATTAAACTTTGTTTGATTTCAACAAAAATTGAATATATGGGGTTCTTTGATATGCTGAATCTAACCATGTATTTAGATTTTTGATTTTTGGGCCCCGTTATCAACTTTGTCCACATTGAGGTCAAAAAGGTCCAAAATTAAACTTTGTTTGATTTCATCAAAAATTGAATTCTTGGGGTTCTTTGATATGCTGAATCTAACCATGTATTTAGATTTTTTATTTGTGGACCCGCTATCAAATTGGTTCATATTGAGGTCAAAAGGGTCCAAAATTAAACTTTGTTTGATTTCATCAAAAATTGAATTATTGGGGTTCTTTGATATGCCAAATCTAACCGTGTATTTAGATTTTTAATTTTGGGTCCCGTTTTTAAATTGGTCTACATTAAGGTCCAAAGGGTCCAAAATTAAACTTAGTTTGATTTTAACAAAAATTGAATTCTTGGGGTTCTTTGATATGCTGAATCTAAACATGTGTTTAGATTTTTGATTATGGGCCTAGTTTTCAAGTTGGTCCAAGTTGGGGTCCAAAATTAAACTTTGTTTGATTTCAACAAAAATTGAAAATATGGGGTTCTTTGATATGCTGAATCTAAACATGTATTTAGATTTTAGATTTTTGGCCCAGTTTTCAAGTTGGTCCAAATTGGGGTCCAAAATTAAACTTTGTTTGATTTCAACAAAAATTGAATATATGGGGTTCTTTGATATGCTGAATCTTACCATGTATTTAGATTTTTTATTTGTGGGCCTGCTATCAAATTGGTTCATATTGAGGTCAAAAGGGTCCAAAATTAAACTTTGTTTGATTTTATCAAAAATTTAATTATTGGGGTTCTTTGATATGCCAAATCTAACCGTGTATTTAGATTTTTAATTTTGGGTCCCGTTTTTTAAATTGGTCTACATTAAGGTCCAAAGGGTCCAAAATTAAACTTAGTTTGATTTTAACAAAAATTGAATTTTTGGGGTTCTTTGATATGCTGAATCTAAACATGTATTTAGATTTTTGATTATGGGACCAGTTTTCAAGTTGGTCCAAGTTGGGGTCCAAAATTAAACTTTGTTTGATTTCAACAAAAATTGAATATATGGGGTTCTTTGATATGCTGAATCTAAACATGTATTTAGATTTTAGATTTTTGGCCCAGTTTTCAAGTTGGTCCAAATTGGGGTCCAAAATTAAACTTTGTTTGATTTCAACAAAAATTGAATATATGGGGTTCTTTGATATGCTGAATCTTACCATGTATTTAGATTTTTTATTTTGTGGGCCCAGCTATCAAATTGGTTCATATTGAGGTCAAAAGGGTCCAAAATTAAACTTTGTTTGATTTCATCAAAAATTGAATTATTGGGGTTCTTTGATATGCCAAATCTAACCGTGTTTTTAGATTTTTAATTTTGGGTCCCGTTTTTTAAATTGGTCTACATTAAGGTCCAAAGGGTCCAAAATTAAACTTAGTTTGATTTTAACAAAAATTGAATTCTTGGGGTTCTTTGATATGCTGAATCTAAACATGTGTTTAGATTTTTGATTATGGGACCAGTTTTCAAGTTTGTCCAAGTTGGGGTCCAAAATTAAACTTTGTTTGATTTCAACAAAAATTGAATATATGGGGTTCTTTGATATGCTGAATCTAACCATGTATTTTGATTTTGGACATTGGACCATAATAGGTAAATTAAAAAAATTGAAGTTCTTAGACCACATTCTTTCTGTGTCAGAAACCTATGCTGTGTCAAATATTTAATCACAATCCAAATTCAGAGCTGTATCAAGCTTGAATGTTGTGTCCATACTTGCCCCAACTGTTCAGGGTTCGACCTCTGCGGTCGTATCAAGCTGCGCCCAGCGAAGCATTTTATTTAATTTTTTTTTATTTTGACATATTTTAACACTAGTAAAGTGTTTTAGGATCATTTACAAGCATTTTCAACTTCTATTTGGTGTTGGAAAATGGGTTTTTCCATGAAAATACCGCAAACGATCACACACGATTTGAAATTACCGGAGTTTCATTAGATGTTTTCAAACAGTTTCAAAATGTTTTTTTACCTGAATTTCTAGTTGTGAGAATGGGGTGCTGACAATGTACCAGTGTCAACTATACAAGTCTGGTTACGGTATTATTGTAATTGATAATTTGGTTGCTAGTTGTAACTGAAAGGCAAAATTTTGGAATTCAAATTGAAAAAAACAACCAGATTGAAATAAAGGATTATTTGTTGTTAACTTAATGTCTAGTGGCAACTATTTCATGCATATTCAGGACAAGATCAAAATAATTAGTCAATTGTTGGGATCTGAGAAAAATTTGTTTTAGACTGTGAATGGAAATTCTGAAATTGGTACATTTGGAAGGGAATTTAAATTTACCTATACTGAAATTGTCATTTTTATACCGACACATAGAAAGGAAAAGTTTGAAGTTTTTGGAATTGTTAGGTTAATTGTTGAAAAGGAAAACTTATATTTATATTTATTTTACAGTTATGGGTTGGTATGCCAGCATGGTATGTGGCAGCATGTAGGGCAAATGTTAAAAGTGGTGCAATAATGTCTGCATTGTCAGACCAAGAAATACAGAGAGAAATTGGCATTAGTAATCCATTACATCGGTTAAAATTACGACTAGCCATTCAGGAAATGGTCAGTCTCACAAGTCCATCAGCACCTAAAACTTCCAGAACTGTAAGTATTTATTATTCTGATAAAATGACTTTTAGGTTGCAAGGCAAAGCACAAGATTCAAGCTGATTATTTAAACAAAAATGTGACAAATGAAGAAATATGAGCTTTAGATCCTGTATGTTTTGTGAAAGGTGTTATCAGTAGGTTACTGATTTTCATAATGATAGAATACATTACAAATTGAAAATTCTAATGTTTTAAACCAGGGTGTGTATCAAATTTGAAACCATTAATAAAAAGTAATACATATAATTTTAAGCAATTTAAATGTATCAAAGGAAATAGTTCTTGTGTGTTCAGTTTTTGATAGGAACAGTTGTGATGATGTAAAATAAATGTAAATTCAAATTACAAAGAAATCTTAAACTATTTTGCCTCTAAAATTCAATGTGGTCAAAATATAGCAGACCTCATGCAATATTGACCAGTATATATCTGTTGTGATCTTGTAAACTTGAACTAGAAGTCCAGGAGATATAGGGCCTCAGTCTCCGAATGATCTAAGTAGTCAAACTACTGTATCAATAGCCAGTCAACACTGAGGTTGTGAGTACGAATCCCGCACATGGCAGGTGCACTGCTCCAATCTTAATTGACTAGGATTATTAGTTTTCCTACCGAAGATCATGGTTCTCTACGGCACTCTGGCTTCCTCCATCAATAAAAGTAACCGCCAAGAAATAGCACAATAGTGCTGAAAGTGGTGTTAAACATCAATCAATCAATAAGTCAATCCAGGAGATATCTATTTTAACCATAAACCCATGCATATACAAAATAAACCAGTATTTGATCTCTGTTTTGAATTATATTTGTAGACATTAGCATTTGGTGATATGAACCATGAATGGATAGGAAATGAATGGTTGCCTAGTCTAGGACTACCTCAGTATAGAAGTCACTTTATGGAATGTTTAGTAGATGCAAGGATGTTAGATCATTTAACAAAAAAAGATTTACGGGGACAATTAAAAATGGTCGATAGTTTTCATAGGTAAGATGTTCATACAACCAAGGGTAATTATACAAATCATAATTACTGTAAATTTCAACTCAAAATAATATGTATTCAGCCTGCTGATACTGTAAAGTACCAATATGAATCAATGCAAAAGAGGACAAAAATGCATAAATGTTTAAATCAAAAACACTGTTTAAAAGGAAAAAAGTATGGTTCCATGCAATTTATATTCTACAAGGGATAACATTTGACCAATATTCATACAATAGCTTTTTTGTATGGCAAAACTTTTTAAATAAAAAGATAAACATTATTTACTACAAAAATAACTGCATTTTAAAATCAGAGCACAGAATTAGGGAATATTAGTGCAGTATTTACGAATATTGCATGGTAACTTAAGTTATGTTCTAAAAGTTATAATACATTGCTATACGATAAAAATAATAGGATTGTCACATGTTTGTTTGGAAACAAGACATTAAGTAATAAGTCGATAGAAGAAACTTTATGAGCCTTCTTGCATTATTTTTCAATGTAAAAATGGCATTAATCAGTAATTAGAAAACACAGTCATAAATCATGAAAGGAAATGATTTTTGTCAGATGTTTAATTTTATCAACATGTTTTTGTGAACTTAGTTAAAATCTAATATGATTTTGTTGTTAATTTTTAGGACAAGTTTACAATACGGTATAAATTGTTTAAAAAGATTAAATTATGATAAAAAAGAATTAGAACGGCGGAGAGAAGAAAGTGCTACAGATTCTAAAGGTAAGCATGGCTGAATGAGTCCATATTATTTTAAGTAAAGTTCAAAGTTTAAAGAAGGAATGTTTTATAATAAAGTAAATACAATGAAACCTGTAAATAAGGTCATCTTTGAGGAATAAAAGAAAATTACTTTATGAGAGAGATGACCTTTAAAATGGGGTTCAAAATTGGTATTACTACATAGCGACAAGAAGAGGTTGACCTTACAAAACAGGTTTTTGCTTAATAGAGGTAACCTTTATAGCAGGTTTGACTGTACTGATAAATGACACTTCATATATACAGGGTAATTTTCAAGGTTTTTTTGCTACCATGCACTATGATATTGCATGTCATTTAAGTCATTATTTGCCCATAGCGAATCCTATTTTTTTATACCCAATTCAGTATTTTGAGATTACACCAAGAAATTATTTTATTAGTTCATAGTTAGCTCAGATTATAGTTTTATCTTTCAAATTCAGAAAATGAAAGGTCACTCATGGTAACTCAAGGTCACTCATGGTAAAATTCAACATTAACCAGGGTCAAGGCTTCCAAAACGGTCATGTATTCCGGACATTAGTATAATGTCCGGTAAAAGTCCGGCTGGGCAAAGCACGAAACAGTCAACTACTTTTTAGTTTTCAAGGCTTTTTTAGAGACGGTCACAATAATTTTTAACATAATTCGCGATCTTTTTGACCCAACCTTTTGCCTTTAACAGCCACACATTTCCAGTCATAAAAGTGACATGATCATTAAGTACTATCAAAACAACCCCTACTTTAATACCTTCTCATTTTAATCAAGGCTAATTAGTTGTCGAACAGCTGAAATTGACCTGTTCAGGTGACAGGTAAACTATTTTGAACAGGACATTGATCGGTCTATTCAAAGTTATTTTTTTACATTTCTCCGGTTTGCATCTAATTAATTTGGTTAAAAAGATTTTAATTATCAGAAATACATTTACAAATATGATTTGATGAAAAAATTAAAAAGGTGAAAATGAAAAATCGTCATAACCACGTTGTTTGAACCAGACATGTCTCTGTTTGAACGAGTACACGTGTGCGCATGTGCGCAGGTGTGAAATTTAATTATCCATCCTAATTTCTTCAAAAAATGCTTAAATTGTCATTGATACCTTTATCTCACGTTTATTTCGAATATTTTCTTGAAGAAATAACGTAGAATGAGCTACTTATACACTCATTCATGCTTTGCAAACGTACACGGAATTTACGTATCCGTCTCTGGTCCATGTTTTACCATTGTCAAGATAACATCCGGTAGATTTAAAAACGAAAGTAAAGTTTTTGACAACGTTATTTTGCACAAATAAAAAGTCTAAGGCAGATATAAGTATGATGATGTTGCACACTTCGAATGATGCACTGCCAATTTAACAGCTTACGTCAGAACTTCAAATTTGAATCAAAGAAAGTTTAATATCGTTTTTTTTTTTAATGTCAATCATTGGGATGGCCAACTCGGCAACTGCATGATTACCATAATTGCCTTATCTTTATTTAGTCTTAAGGGATTAAAATCGGGATAATATATAAAATGTCCGGCTGGCTAAAACTAATTTTGGAAGCCCTGACCAGGGTACTAATGAATAGATTTTATATTTTTAGAGGAATTATATTGACAATGTTACTTCATCAGAGATGTCTGGTCCAGATTAATGATTTTTGTGCATAAACAAATATTTATTACCCAACTTCTTTTACATGGGACATATATATCACATATGTTACAAATAAATGCAAAAAATGTATGGATGATGAAGAATAGCTGACTTGAAGCCTCACCAGTTATTTTCAAAAATAGCTTTGTTCTATGTATCTATGATTTTTTTAAATGTTCATAAATTTACTAAATCAAAATTTTATTCTATTTCAGATGTTTTAGTATGGACAAATGAACGTGTTATAAAATTTGTACAGTCTATAGGTCTAAGAGAATATGCAAATAATTTAATTGAATCAGGAGTTCATGGTTCGCTTGTGGCTTTAGATGAAAGCTTTGATCATAATAGTATCGCTTTAGCTTTACAAATTCCTAACCAAAACCCACAGGTAATGTTATATTTATAGGTAAAAAAGAGTGTTCCAAAAACTTATTAGAAACTTCGTCCATATATATATAGCAAGAATATACTAGATATCAACCTTATTGCAAAGATAATGGTACTGAAAGTGATATTCTTTGAAATAGAAAAATCTCAGAAAACCCAAGAAACAAACAGTTCAAATTCATTTTACCACACCTTATTTAAGACTTGTTCAAAACATCATTTAATGGCAATATAAATCATACTCTTATAGCTTTCTCAATCATAGATAATTGTGTATACCAGTTCTCGATTTACAGATAATAATACCTAATTTTTATTTTTTTTTAGGCTCGACAAATATTAGAAAGAGAATTTAATAACTTGTTAACAATGGGAACAGATCGACGGTTAGACGAGGTAAGTCAGAGTTATTTAGATGAACTTTAACCTAACAAATGAATGTTGTCCCGTTTTAGTTACTGAGGGAGTAGTAGGACAGTATTTACTAAATTAACTTCGGTCTTTGGTTAGGTGATTTTGGGTTTGATTATAAATATTTAGATTATAAAAAAGAAATTGTAAACTCTAACATTCATCAGAACTAAGTTTTGATTAGTTGAGAAATTAAAAAAGAAATGATTCATTTCTTTAATTTCTTTTTGAAAAAAAAAAAATCAAGGAATTATGAAAAAACTTAAATTGCAAATTTATTCAATATTGAAAGTTTTAGATAAAAAAGGAGTTAAATTTTAATAAAGGAGCTTTTCAATTTGTTGAAACTCTCTCATGAATATCTATTTTGTATCAAAAGCTGATTCAAACTTAGGGAAAGATTTCAATATTTAGTGATTAAATTTGTGTTATAAATGTTATGCCTTGAAAATAAAAAATAGGTGAATTTTGACTCCAAAATGTTTAAGCATGGTGGGAAAAAGATGGAAAGTTTCTTCAAATTTTAAGCATGGCAGGTAAAAATTTGGGATGGTGGCCACAATGCTTGAATGCTTGGGCAAAGGGACACATCATAATATGAAAGTGAGAGAAAACAGAAAAAAAACATTAATGAAAAAGAAAAAAAAAACACATAATTGTTTCATATGCATTATTTGTTAAAATAATCCCTAAATGCTAGTCACAGGTTTTTCACCTGACATTTGATAGTAGGTTGATATATGATTTACATTATATTAATTATGATATGTTTGATTGATTGCAATAAGTAGTGTAGAAATTGTAACTTGTTTTTCTAAGTGTGATATCTGAGTTTGCTTGTTTTCAGAAGAAATCTAAGAAAGGTGAGAACGTGACATCAGTATTTTATGCTTTTACTGACTGACTTTGGTCATTATGCCTAAAAATGTCAATTTTGTGAAAATAAGATCATGTGAAATGTATTCGTTAATTTTAAATATTATGAATAATGAAAGCTATAAAGTTTATTTAACCAAAATTGGCATGACATGGACATTTTGGTATTCTTCATAGAATTTTTGGTTAGGTTCACAGGTGTGAAAAACATGAGATGTGTTTTATTAGTATGAGATTATAGGTGCACAAGTCTGGGTAGAAGTTTATTTATAAAACTCACTTTTTTTTTTTTTATTGCACTTCTATTGAATTCAATAAGTTCATAAAAAGTACTTATTTTCCCTCTTACATTTGTATGGTTTGGGGGGTCTTAGATTCATTATTTTACATGATCTTAAGATTTGAGCCTTTCCTTCCATTAACAAGACCAAGGGCTACGATGTATCACTGTTTCTCTCACCTTTTGTGGAAACTTTGGTTGTCAATCCTTTCCTTACTAACATATGCTTGCTAACAATTATATTGTTTTCAGAAAAAAAAAATAGTTTGTTTGGGCATTCATTTAAACATTACAAAATTTGAAGTTTCCTTGTTTACTAAGGGAGATAATTGCAGTTAAGTTATAAAAAGAAAGGCAAAAAATACCAAGAGGAGACTAAAAAGTCGAAGAGAAACTAACAGCACTGTGGCCAAAAATTTAAAAAAAATTTAAAAAAAAAAAAAAAAAAAAAAAATGAAAAATGACTATAAGACAAACACAACAATTTTTGTTTTATCTAAACGACAAGTTTCACTGAGTGTGGTGTTAATATTTTTTATCTATTAAAGAAACTAATGATTGTCTAACATTCTATTTATTATTATACTGAATGTTTACAAATTGAGCATGAAATCAGTTGGTGCTGGCATGTATCAGTTAACCAGCTTTTGTACTAAACCATCAATTGTTGTATTTAAGAAAGATCCCAAGACTATTGTGTACTGTGAATTGTTGTAAGGTTAATGTTTCCCAGTTGAGCAAATTATCTTCACCATAATTATGGTTATATTGAAATGATAGATCCGTAGAAAATTGGTAGGATATATTGCAGCATCGTGCCTTTCCTTCAGCATTTAAACAGAGCAATATATTAAAAGATAACTTTATTTAGAGCAATATATTTATAAACTTCATTAGCTTGTTAAGATTTCCTTAGTCTCTTAATCATTAGTAGTGTAGTCGTCAATATAACGAGTAAAAATAGTAAGCTTTGCTAGTACATTTGTAGATTTTATTGAATAAATCATACATTCAGAAAATTGCATATATGCATATAGTTATATATCTATAATACACTATGCAGGAATCCATTTGTAGTTTCCTTGGCCAAAAGGGCAAGTATTAGCAATTGCAATCATTTGGCATCCATCTTTCTGCTGTCTCCTGCCATCCTCTCTGTAAAAAAAAAATAAGACTCTCCTCTGGAACCAATGGACCAGTAAAAATCAAGCTTGATCATAATCATATGTAGGATGTCTTGTTTCAACTCAATTTCAACGTTCTTTTCAGTTAACCAACATGGCTGCCATAATTGAAAACATAACATAAGGTTAAAACAGGCAAAATGGGAGCAAGATTTGCTTTTTAAAACTAAAGTATGCACTTCTACAAATTCTATTTGTGACATGTGGGTGACCTTTTGGACTAAGAGTATCTATTTTGTCTTTTTATGCAGTATGCTGATATTTAGTTTATAGTTATATAATGATTAGTTCTAAAATACTTCTGTTTCTGTGTTTGACCTACCTATGGCTATTGAAATTGTCAATTTTATATCCAGTTTTCTACAATCTAAGGGGATATTGCGATTGTATTTATATTTGGTATATAGTAGTGACATGAATAAATACACATAAGCTTCTCAGAATAAGTTAAAGATGAGTACTTTTGTTGAATTATCGAAGAAAAAAATTACTTTGCTCTTTAATAACTGGCAATAATCACGAAATGGCTTTATAGAAAATTCCAAATTTATTCTATTTTGACTTGAACAAAATTAATAAGCAATTTGAAGTTTATTGTAACTTCATTTAAAAAAAATATAAATATTCACTTTTTGTAGGAGTTGTGTCCCTTAAACTTCTTTAAACTTGGAAAATTGTATGAACAACCAATGAAAATGTTGTTTTTTTTATGTAAAGCTAATAGTTTAAACAATAGTTTATCCTAATAGTGAATAATTCATAAAATTATCTTTATATAAGCATATATGTACTTTAACTTATATTATTTTATTACAATAACATCAGTCTAGATGTGATTTTGCACAACTTGTCATTCTTAATGGTTAAAAATGGCAATAATTAATCAAATTTTTGCTCCTCATTTGTCAGATTAAAGACTTTATTGGTTGACTTACAAAGGAAATGACCTTGAATTATAAAAAATTTGACGTACAATCTAGAAATTGCATTTACCACCAGTTGGATGATTGACCCCTTTCTGTGAATATTTGATGTACATGTATTACCAAAAAAGCATGCTCCCCATTTACCAGATAATCTTGTCACTAAATCTGTTTGCAGTAATAGTTGTCAAAATATGAGTATGATTAGAAATTACACATTTACAGTTGATAGTACCTAATCAGTTGTTATACTAATTTGTTGGAATACCAAACGTTTACTATAAAAAGGATATCACAAATAAATTATCCAGTGGTAATGATTGTTTATAAAGTTCAAACTTTTTGTTTGTTTCCTCAACATAAAGTGTAAGTATTGACCTATTTTTTTATCTTTTTAAAATGGAAGAAATTGTTTATTTTTCAGGGTGAAGGTGGAAAACTACGTAGAGCACCTTCTTGGAGGAAGAAATTCCGTCAAAAAGATAAGAGTAAAGATAGCGGTGATGAGGCGGAACCTGCAGAATCTCAACAATCACCACAGCATCCTCGTCGTGGAAATGACAATTCCATGGAACGAAGACCCAATGAAAATGGACGGACGTTCTCACAATAGGACATAAAAAATTGATCCGAGACCAAAATAATTGCTAGCATCATTATTCATTTCAAAGTCTATGTTGTTGTCTCAGTGAGTTTAGATAGACAAAGATTGTTGTATCACAACTTCCTGTACTTAAAGGGATAGTATGTCTCCAAAACTTAATGATTCACGTTTCTGTATTCTCATAAAAAAATATGATTTAAATTTTATCTTTTGTAATGCATAATTGTTATAATTGAAAAAAAATTGTAGCTGCACTTCTACAGGTGACAAAACACAAGATTTAAGTGAATCAAAAGAATTTTTTATGAGTTTTATTTAGTCAGTGAGGTTTTTGTTACAGAGACTAGTTTCGTGTACATTTTTCTGATTGCTACTTGAGGAGAGCTAATTCTTTTGAATAAGTTTTAAATATCACTTTAATTTTTGTTAGATTTTTTCTTTATCTTCAAAACCCAATTGCTGATGATTCTGTTCAGGTTTAATTTCATCAATTTATGATGATAAACTGTTTAATATAACCATTGTTTAAACAAGTGGTATGTGGTATATCTGTGATAAAAACTCCATATTCAGGACTTAAATCCATAAATATAGAATAATACATTTATATACAAATCCAATATAAAGATTGCCAAAATGATGAGATAAGCTTTTTATAATCATGATAATCATATAAAACATTTACTTAGCCATAATATGATCCAGATATTATTATAATTTTACTCCCACTCTAAGAGTGGGGAATATATTTCAATCACCTTGTCTGTCCAACAAATATTTTCGTCACGCTTTTCTCAGAAACTAATTTTTAAATGAAATGACTTCATGTTTGGTCATAAGCTTGTGATCTGTCAGATACCCACTTCCTGTTTGCTGATACTTTGAATATTTCAATATGTTGGACAAACTTAAAAATTGTCATCATGTATTTCTGTATCGTAATACTACTTAACAGAATGGCTTCCTATTTGGTCAGAAGAACCATGATGAGTTGTAATATGTGTGCTTTTCAAATTTGTCAGACACCTACGTCCTAATTCCCTAATACTTTGAATAATAAATGGGGGTATGCTTAGCATGACAAAAAGTCCTTTTATGTTGAAACCAAATATGGTAAAAAAGTTCTTTGTGTGGTTCATATTGAGTTTTAATACTTTGTTGGCAATCAGTCTAACAGTAAGGCCATCATGGAAGGAATTATGTGGGAGCTTTTCTTGTGACTGTTGAACCAGTTGAAAGAAAATATAGCAGAAACGTTAGTTGTTATGTAATTATAGAGTGTACTTAATTTGGCACTGATTGAACAAAAGAGGAGAGTTTACGTTACATGGGAGCCATTTAGGAAAAATATTTGGATTGAGAACTTCTGTTCCAGTTAGTACCTATTTTAGGTTTTCTGCAAATAATTGTTCTTTGGTAAGCATATTTAAATTCTGATTGCCTCAAGGGAATGTTTTTAGCAGTTTGCTTAAAACTATGGGCATTAGTGAAGGCATTGTAACAACACTAAAATTTGCATGAAAAGTTTGCCTTTTTTTCTTTCCAAGCTTTATGCTTAATTAGATAATTTTGATGGTAAATAAATATATTTAGATAAATTCCACAGAAATTCAAATTGTATCGTAAATGGTAGTCGGGTACTTGTAAAAAGCTCTATAAATTACTTAAGTTCACTGATCCTAAATGGAAGAAACAAATTAAAAATGGCATGAAACCTTATATTTTGGGTTGTGTCATAAAAAAAATGATACTAATATAAGAATGCAAGTAAAAATTAAAACTAAAAGAAGGCTTTGGAGAACTGATTACATTGGGATATTATCTGAGTTGATCTTATTATGGCTAAGTATTTATTTTGAAATGAAAGTAAGTAGTATATATTCATTTTTTCAATCTAGTTAGTGTTGATTTTTCAAAATGGAAAACCTGTGAACTAAGGGTATCTCTTTATCAATATCATGCAGGTTTCCATAGTTAAAAAATATTGTAAAATAACGGAAAAAAATTGTAGCAATAACCTTTTGACAGGATTTTATTTGTTGCATTTATTTCATGTTTTAGAAGGAGACCAAGAACAATTTAATTGTGTAGAACACATTTGATATTAATGTACAGATAGAATGTAGTCAAAAATATGTATGACTGCTTTTACCCATAATTCCATGGTGTACATCATAATCATATGAATGTTTGTGATTGTGAGTTATTTTATGTTTAAATTTTGTTGAAGACCACCAGGATTTCAATTCATTTGAAATACGAGTACTAAACAATAGATCTGAGGTCTGTCTGTGATCTGTGATTTGGATCTGTAGGACTGTTATTTCAGTTTTACTGACTAGAGGAAGCTTAAGATTAATAGGGGTCAGAACTGTAAAGGGGTTCTTAATCCATGTTTTACGAATTATTATTTGTTTATTCATTCAGTACCCCACTTTAATAAAATACATGTAAAAGTCTTTGATATTTTAGCAAGGGTTGGCAATAGGATTACTTGTATTAGTAAAGGTACTTTTCATTTAGTATTTTGGTGCTAAGACCTAATATGTTTTAACATTACATTTTGGTTGTGCCTTCCAAGGAAAGCTTGGTTGTGATTTCAGATGTGTTCATTATAAATATACTCACTCCATTATATAATTCATTATTAAAAAACTTTTTTAAGCACTAACTTAAAACTTCAACCAATCAGACAAATGGATCATGTTAATCTTCATAGTACCATTATAGACAAGAAAATCAGTGCCAATGTAGATAAAACAAAATATTACCAATCCTGAGAGCTGAAACTTGAACAAAACCACTATAATTTGATGCCATGAAAAAATTTATTTGATGTATGATTAAGATTTATTAAAAATGCATTTATATCCCGTTTTATATATTTGATGTGGAAAGTATCATATAAAGCATTTTAAAGAATTTTGATCCATTACCAAATATTTTTTGTTTTTAATTGTGATAGATGACATTGATGATTATGATGTGTATCCATGTGTAATTGTGTGGGCTGTGTATGTGTGTGTGTGGTACATGCTTCATTTTTAACGTCATATTTATTTCTTACCAGATTGTAAATGTAATAAACTGTATAGCATGTCTGAAAATATGCAAATACAGTGATTCAAACAGTATTATCTTGTCTATATTATATCATCCATTGGACTACTGAGGGGCTGCACATGTACAATTCAAGCACACACTTGCCTCTTATGCAATTGTATGTGATGAATATTTTCAACCTTGCCTCATTTGCAAAGATGCAGCCATTGTCATCATTATTTTGTCATCACCAACACTTTATAATGTTTCTGTAAATGACCTGCTACCATATATACAGAAGCCACCATTAGGTACGCATCACATCCACACCAAACTATATTCACAACCCCTATTGAAACTTTATTCTTTGTATAAATTATAAAAACCAGTGTTACATATTCCCTTTCTAAGCAATACAAACTTGAGCTATCATCTCAGATATTGCTCATCACAGACTTTTAGACCAGTTGGCATTGGAGAAGATGAAATGGAGAAACAATATAGGCAATATCCTTCATCATAAATCTATCAAATCTAAATTGCCTCCCTACTTAAAGATCAGTCTGTTCCAATCTTCTCTTTTACCTTGACCACACATATTGTGACTGAAATTACAGAACTAGTATCTCAATATTGAAAAATTCATGTCTAAACCTGCTTATTGCAACTGTGCATGATCCCCATTCATATATTGTCCAGCTGGCCATGTTATGACTTGTGATCATGTCTCAGGCGAAGGACAGAAATACTGTTCCATAAAGAGGAAATACAACATTCAAATGTTAATGGATTCAGTTGAGGGTTATTCCAGACATTGGGCAACTTAATGTGTCTATGAACACTTGTGCTACATCTATCTTTAAAGACCCAAAATGATAGTAAAACACCTGTCCTACCTTCATGACAAATATGTTGTGGTCTGCAGACAAAGACCCAAACAATGGAGCTGTGTTTACAGATCAGATGATATGAAACTGCTTGATAAGGGAATTAGGTATTGACAATCTACTTTAAAACCCAATATATACGCTCAAGACACTTAATTGACTTCTTTTTGATCTGCAATCAAAACCGGGTTTCAGAGTTACTGTGAAACTACCTATTCTAGGGGTTGAGTGAAATTGTGAAAATCTTATGTGGATACTTAAACTTAAAATAATCAGTATCTGTGGTGTTGAGTACAAAACATACAATATTTAAAAGTCTTCTCTCCATGTGCAATACATGTAGTATAAAAAATAACATTTAACTTCTCTATGGTACCCTTTACACAAGTATTCATCGTTCTAGCTTATAGACAGATTGAAAGAATTAGTCTTGCATTGATTTATTAAACAAAAATTGGCCAACAGAGATACAAAGATCTTGTTAAGGAAGGAACACATCATGTTTAATAAAAAAATACCCTCTGATTTAAACATTTGCATGATTTTGAATTGCCACGTTAGGTGGACATGTTTTTCCAGATACAATCAGATTCCTGTGTGAACCAACTAAATTTCCCGGAAGTTTGCCTCATATCAGATATCAAATATTTCATGTAGGTCTAGGACGAGAACAAGTTAAAGCGGAACGTGTTTTAGTGACCACCTGTCTAATCTGATCATAATAAAAGGTGATTATTCAAATTAAATGAGATTTTTGTATGGCTTCCCAAAACAATATAACACACATTTTTGTCATGCCTGCAGTGCACAGGGATTACAATCTGGAGGCAGCAAAGGCATAACTATTTGTATAAAGCTTTATATTTCAGAAGGTAAGAAGACCTGAATGCTTCATACATTGTATGCAGATACCTGATGTTACAAAGTTTATGAAAAAAATGTATAGTTTTTTTGTCATGTGATATACTCCCTTATTATGAGTAATTTGATAACTATATTTGATTTATTAGATGCTTGCAAAGTCTACATGTCCGACAGACGAGGTTCACCTGACCTCAACCTTATTTCATAGATCATTGGTCAAGGTTAAGTTTTCGTGTTGAAATACTATAAGCAATAGGTCATATGATCTTGACCATTACTAGAACAGCAGTAGGTCATATGACCTTAACCTTATTTTCATGGTTCATTGGTCAATGTTAAGTTTCTGTGGTTTGGTTGGTTTCTCAGGTACCTTAAGCAATATGACCACTATATCTGGTGTATGAAATGATTGTAAGTTGCACATGTCTGTCTGGCATGTCTCATCTGACCTTGACCTCATTTTCATTGATCATTGATAAGTATATGTGATACTTGTAGTACAGACTTTTAACATAGATTCAATCATGATCAGTAAAAACAGGCGAGACATTTCAGCATGTGCTCTCTTGTCTTGTGTTTGATTATAACTTTTGAACTTCCCTTGGAACCCTACATAAGACATGCTTGACTGCACACAATAAGTAGGTAGGACCTGCAAAGTGGGTCAACCAGGATGAAGGACAGAAAATTTAGACTGCCACAGATGAAAGGTGGGATGGGTAGGAGTGGAATTGGTCACCAATTGACATATTACCCACTTTTACTTACATTCACTATGAAGGCAAGTGGATAGTGGGGCTTTAGTCAAGCTTCCACTGGATGTAAAGTAAACAGAAATCAATCATTTAGTCAGACTTAATAAACTATCAAGCCTGAAGTTAATCAATATATTAAGAAATAGTGTAGAATATTTTTTTGCATAAAAAGTTATAGCAAAATCATAAACAGTTCTGGAAGACCAGACCTAGAACAAAATGTACAACCATTTCTGTATTGCTTAAAACTATAGATGAGCAAATGAATGTTTTATCCTAAAAAACACCAGGAGACATCATTAAGAACAACGGTATATTTTTACATGTATAAACTTTATCAATAAGTCTATTAAGCAAAAGAGAAAGATTTGAAGAACAATTTCTAAACTTATTAGCTTTATAAATCATATTACCATTAACAGCTGGACTTGAAATGCCATTTTTGTCGAGCCTGTGAAACTTTGTTGCATAAGTGAGACATAGTGATCCTTAATTACAACATTATTGGTTAAAGTTTTTTTAAGCAGCAAGTAATTTGTCAATCCTTCATGGTATTGTATGAAAACTGGACAGAAATTTTGATGATCAAAAGACAGTACATTTTTTTACAAATCAATAACTTATTCAAACCTTTATGGAATGTTATGAAACTTGGACAGAAGCTTCTTCAAGATTAAGAAATAGCATCTTAAGAAAGAAGTTTGATTTAAAAAAAAAATATGTATTTTGATAAATGGATTTCGGCAGGTAATATTACACTTACTCTGACAGCAGCAATAGCAGGTGAGATCTGCAGAATTCTTAACAATTGTTTTTATCAAATACCTGCACGTGGATCATACTTCCTCAATAAATATCCAAATAATTAAAACAGATATTCCTACAGGTAAATGAGCAAACTTTGAAAGTTTAGAATAAGAAAATTTAAAATGATAAATATCTTATTTCAAACAATTTGAACATTTGAATAATGGCTTTTTATAATGGTTGACTTCAAATTTTCAAACCTAATTTCAGAATTAGTGTTGAAATATTCAGTTTAAGAAAATTGGGTTCATAATTACCTCCCTTTGACATAAATTTTTTTTTAAAAATGACTTCACTGTAATAAGATGTGATAATATACAAAAAAATTTATTTGGATTCATAATGAACACAAGCTTTGTTGAGCTTTTGTCAGAATATATAAAACATATGACAAATATTAAACAATTGCACATGTAAACAACATTTTGGCTGAATGATATCATATCAAGTAGAAATCAACTTCAGCTTGTAGTTCCGCACATAACCCCCTCTTGGCCGTCCGTGCGAGGGCTGTATAGCCAGTCAAGGTCGTTAAAAACTTCCATCATCATAACCCCCTCAACCATCACCTTTCAAATGGTATAAAAGTTTTGAATATGAAAACAATGTTGGAAGCTCTACATATCCTTTCATCCTTTCCAAAATATAATCTTTGTTAACTAACTGATCAGTGTGTTTCTCCAAAAGATGAATTTGACACAGTTTGAATTTGTCCCTTAATTTACTTGATAAATAAAATTCAATAAATTTTCACAGCTATCTTTTTTATATATAAAATTCTTATTTTGTAATTTGCTGGGGAAAAACCTGTTTTTTAATGCCGAGGATTTATCTATATTTGTGGTATACAAATTTTTGGGTATTTTGGTGATGAGGAGAAACCATAGATTTAGATAGTCAATGAAATAAGAAAAAATGGTTGCCTTGAAATAGAAGTTTTTTCTTCAACCATGAAAATTAAAACCAATGAAAATAAATTGAGTGCTTAGAGAACCATACCTTCAACAGGAAAACTTGTAACCTTAGTCAATCAAGACTGTCAAGTTTGGGGTTTTGAACTCACAACCTCCAATGAAAATAATCACAGTATGACAACAATTTACAATTTTAATTGCCTAACTGAATTTAGTGATCTTTTTTTTTTTTTTTTAGAAAAACTAAAATGCCTTATTTGCAAAATGGTTTAATAATAACAAATAAATGCCCTGTTTTTTTAGCTTTTAGTTTTGTCAAATTTGAGGTAATTTTGTGTCATGAATTCATACACCATATCCTTTTTTCTCTTATTGAGTCATATTTATGAGTTCCATTTTCTCTGTATTCAAAATGTCAAAGGGAGATAATTTTCAACCATGATTTGTTGCATGTAATATATTGACTAAATATCATTAAAGATAAGTTTCCTTTGATGTAATTTCTCTTTGATAATGATCACAAATATTTTAAAATTGATGAAAAGTTCTTATCAAGGAAATAATTTTTTTGTCTTACATTTTCATGACCCATTGAAATCTATTCTTCATCTAGATGTTAAACTTTTTTGTTTTGTGAAATTTTCAGTTTGTGAATATTAAAAATTATCATATGGTTCAATTTTCAGGTGAAAAAAAATCACTAGGTTTAACATTAACACAGTTCAACTTATTTAACCCCACACACGTTCATGTGCCTTTCCCAAGTCAGGAAAATCAAGGGTTGTCTTTAGTTTCATCTTAATGTCTTTTTCATTTAGGGAATTAAGATTTTATGGCATATCTTTGATTGGTCTGTTTAATTTATCCCCATCTTTTTAGACTTGGCAATTAAGAAATTTTTTACACACTGTATAGACACTGTCTATTGTAGACTATATATGTTGACCTCTAGATGTTTTCTGTTGTTTGGTTGCTGTCTCATCGACTTATATCCCGTATTTCCTTTTATTTAAGCTACCCTAGTAAACAACTTAACTGGCTATTATTCAACATTGTAGTTCAAAGTCCTGACCACCAACTTCACTGTCCCTGGTGAGTCTTTCTCCCTTGTTATGGTCTAGTATAAACCAAAAGTTCATCTTGAGTGTGGACGATAAATAGTTGGATCCCTGCCTGGATCAAATCAGGCTTCAAAATCAGTATTTGCTCCTTCTCTGCTAAGTATATGAAATATAAAAGACTGAATGGCTAAGCATTGGACTAATGTTTCCAGTTACAGTGACCTGTCCTCCTGGGGACTGTCACCACATTAGCTAGCCTTTTAAAATCTAACTCAAGGATATACTATGTTATATTTGCCACTGGTTTAAAAACCTTTCATTAATCAAAGAGTCCTGCTAACCAACATAAGTAAACTCTCAAGTAACTTCCCACACTCTCTGCACGTGACATAATTCTTGCAACAACTCTCTAAAGGGTCTGTAAGTTGCCTGTAGCCAGGTTAAATTTCTGCCCATATTCCAACATACCCTTATTTTCCAGTGGTAGTTCAAATTGTTGTCCTTCATCCTGGTTGTTCCCTAGCTGACAAAGCTACCAATTATATCTATTTTTAATTTGTTTTCATCCTGAACATGCATGAAATAGTTGGCACTGGATGTAAATAAACAATAAATCAATCAAGTACTCTTCTAGAATTAACACTAATGTAATGTTTAGGGCTAAAAAAAAAACCATAAATATGACAATAAAATTTAATATCAATGACAAAGTTTTAACAAGTTTACATCAGAAGTAGGCACACAACTAGCCGAAGCATCTTATTTGATTTAGAAACAAGTTGAAAGCATTTTTTTTTTACAAAGCCTAAACCTGAAAAACATTTATATTAATATTATTATTTATTACTTCCCACATTCTGACAAATTACCTCATTATATTCTATTTGAAATATTTCCATGAAGTATATTTTGATTCTAAATTTGTATTTTGATTTCTTTACAAAATGAAAACATTTTTATGTACTATGATTATAGGTGAAAAGAATGCAGTGCTAAGCAACACACTTATGGAATGAATATGAATGGAATGTTTTTATACAAATGTTTACAAAAATATACAATTGTTCAAAATAAATTATACGAAATATGCATGGCATAAAAAAAAAAAAAAAAATATTAAATTTTTGGAATGTTGGTGTGCTGAAATCACAGGAATGTTTTAAATGAATTATTCATGCAATACATATAAAAGTCCTGCCTGTTGTTTAAAAAAATCATTGATTTTTTTTTAATTTAATTTACCCTATATTATCATAATTCAATTTCATTTTGGTCCTCTTTTCTGTATTTGATCCTTAATGGTAAAAAATGTAACAAAATATCTTAAAAAGACAAGTTTATTAAAGTTGCCAATAGATAATTTTACCTTATTGAATATAAAAATGTTCACATATTCAATAACAAAAATCTTTAAAACAAATACAACACCAATGAATATATATATGGCAATTACCATACTATGAAATCTCTTTGGCTTAGTATATACAATGCTAACTGATTATGCAAATTGTAATTATGACTACTTATGAATATTTATAAATGATTTCAACTATACACCTTTGTAACTTTTTCCACAACTTGCATAAATATTGTGTAAGTGTTTTTTTTTTGCTTTGGCCATTTTTTTCCCACAGAGTATTCATAAAGAACAAATTTATTCTAGAGTATTGTAAAGAAATATTTCTTTAATTGTTCATTTTTTAATATCTTTGCATAGTTCATACAATGTTAAACACTTATAAAATATCTCTGTTTTAATCTCACCTTTTTAAGAGTAATCTTATCAATCAAAAGAAAAAACAACTTTGTGACTTACCATTTCAAAAGCATTAAAGTAAACTGTAATGAATTGAAGTTCTTTGTTTGTAATTTTGATACATTATCAAGAAATAGAATTTTTTAAGCCAATACAAGCTTGATAAGTGCAAGCCTCAATATACCTGTAATGTATTTCCTGACTGTGAAACAAAATCAATTTCTATTTGACTTATTCCAATAAATTGCCAAAAAGATGTGTCTACTTAGTTGTCAAAACTCAATTTCCTCTGTTATCTGAATGACAACAGGGTCAACACAATGTGTGATGGGCAACTCATTTTCCTCTGTTATCTGAATAACAACAGGATCAACACATTGTGTGATGGGCAACTCATTTTCCTCTGTTATCTGAATAACAAAGGATCAACACATTGTGTGATGGGCCCTAAGCATTTGATTTGACATTTCATCCAGTAAGTTTGACAGGTATGGTCTATTTGAACATCACTTGTAGTATAAAAAAAATCTGACAATGTTTTCATAATATCTAGGTATAAAAATCTCAATTTTCTGGAGTAATGACAGTTCTGTCAGATCTTCAATACACAACCTTTGATTGGTTCTTGTTTACAAAGATCTAATATCAATTATTTAACCAATCTCAGTTGTGGATACATAAAACAAATTTTAGAGAAAAAAATGGTATTATGAAATATTCAGGAAAACTAAAATCTCACATTGTACTGAGTAATAATTATATTTTATGCTCCAAAAATTATTAACATGAAAAAATAAATACAAAAAGATAAAAGCTATTTACAATAAAAAATACTCAATAAAAATGGATGAACAAACATTAAAGCAATGCATAAACTACAAATGTAATAATAAAATCTGAATAAAGTCTTCAAAAGCTAAAACTGCCTTGTAAGCTAATAGGGTGATTTATCATAGTGACCAAGCCATTTTAAACATAGCCATCATTTATAATATTGTCATTTGTTATGTTCAGCCATTTTAAGCTGATGTGGTATAAACTGTTACCAACAATTCCTTAATTACTATGAGCAGACTCAACAACAATTTTCACGAATCATGAAATGTTTACAAAAACTGATGAGTACATTCATATATATACAACTTGATATATAGCACTTGTTGTAATACAAAATTACAATAAAATAAAGTATTGCATAATAAGTCCAAAACAACCACACATCATAAACGAATTACCAGTCTTATACTGATATATATATATATATATAACAATTGTATGAACAAAAACTCATAAATAAAAACATGAATTGATTAGACATTTTATTTTGCAACTGGTAGCTCGAATTCCATGCGAAAATCCCCAAGATCAGAACTTAAATAATTCAGTTTCAGAAACTAGAGGATTCTGGGTAATATCAATGCTGTTACTCCATTGGTTAGAGATCGTTAGATACCCTTTGTTTAGGACATTCTCAACCAATCATATTTTGGTGTATTCTTTTGCAAATATTACCATGAATATATTTAATTTTGAAATGACTTATTATTTAATAGGAGAAATCAATAATAAAAACCATACAAATATGAAGTAACAGTACATTAATATATACCACTTTACTTAAAAGTAAGAGAAAAAACAATGATAGTTAATAAAGTTAGTTTGTACCCTGTTTAAAATGTTGGACTTATATACAAATGGTTCTAAATGAAGACATAATTTTGGTACGTTGAGGAAAATATACAAGTTGAATACTTTTCTATAGATAATTAATGTAAAAGGATTCTAGTGTCAGCTTTACAGATTCATGAACCTAGACTCTACAATACAAATTACTTGATCATGAAAGATTTTGTCACTTTCTCAATGTAAAACTAATGTTCAATCTATATTACACTAAGGTAAAAAAAACTGATCTTACAAGCCTAATTAATATAATGAAGTGGAATATCAACGTTCCTCTGCATTTACGACCAAACTATTTTTTATTTTAAAGCTCAAAAAATAGGAAGTGAAAGCTCCTGATCATAGACCGACAAGATAAATGTCAATCAACCATTTACTAAACTGAGACAAACAACTGTATTGAAATGAGCAATAAAGCACTACATAAATACCATGATTCATTCATAACAATAATATGCTGCTTATCTAAATCAATTTCAATACATACAACAATAAATAATTTCACAAATGGCTGAAGTTTAAAATTCAATTTTTTTGGAATAAAATTTACAAAGTACCTAATATGTATTTAAAAATTTTAAGTGAGAAAATCGATATGCAACTCTTGACTCTTGTCAAAAAGTTATTAACCACATTATATAGTAAATGTATTTCTTATAACTCTAACAAAATCATTTTGTATTAAATTTGAATGTTCTAACTGGAGGCAACATAATCTAAAAGCTAAGATTATGAAGCAAAAAAAAAAACATCACATATTGCATTTAAAATAACAAAGAAATTCTATGAACAAGTAGAAAAAGTATATAAAGTCAATATTTTAATTCACATAAATTTGATATACTCTTTTATCTGTCACAGCTTCTGCCTTAATACATCATTGTGCCGATATCATCATCTAGCATCATTTTTCTTGTGCTGATATTATTATCCAGCATCTTTGTTCTCAGAACAATCTCATTTTCTGCTAGGACAAGAAGTTTTATCACATTGTCTAATAAACTTTATATGGTGTTCAGTAAACTGTCCAAGGCTTTCTGTTGGTAATGAACAAACATTTGGAGTTCCCTGTCAAAAGTAAAAAGTCTGTAAGAAATATTTCTCAGTTGTCTCCCTTAACACATATGCCTAGGGGAGACAATATACATCATTAACCAAAATGAAAGGCTGTTTGTTATTACCTTCTATATAATTTCTACAATTAGCATTTACCCTGTGCACCGTCAGTAACAATCTATGTTGTAAATTTCCAATCATGTCTGGCAAATACAATCATTTCGTTACTATAACAGGACCAATACCGGATCTGGACCTGGGTTGCTGCATGCAATTGATTGAGGTAACATGTATACTGAAGCATAACTGATCACTCCCTTTCATTAAAAAAATAAAATGTGAAGAAAATTTTCCTTGTACAATGAGGGTTGTAAAATTTCACACAATCGGCAAACAGGAAGTGGCTGCATGGCGGATGTAAATATTAATTACTTGTTTTAACTGAACATAATCAAGCTGCTGACAAAAAAATAAAATTATTCCCTTCAGTAAGAACAAAGAAAAGTTTGACTAAAATTTTCCTTGTATAATGAGTGCTGTAAATTTCAAACTACAAGCGTATAATAAAATGCTTCGCCGAGCACAGCAGGATACGACCGCAGAGGTCCAACCCTGAACAGTTGGGGCAAAAATGGACACAATATTCGTGCTTGATACAGGTCTGAATTTGGATTGAAATTAAAAGTTTGACACATAATAGGTTTCTGACACAGAATAACTGTAGTCAAAGAACTTAGAATTGGTTATATGATTTGAATTTATATTCAATTTTTTGCTTTTGTGCAATACACTATGCTGTTGCGAATTGACCCCCCCCCCCTCCTCCCCCAAAAAACAAAAAAAAATTCACCACCCTTTTTTTATTGGCAAAAATTTTTTTTTTCACCCCACCCCCTTTTTTTTTTACAAAAAAAATTAATATTTGAAGAAATTTTCTTTTTAATTTCTGAAATCTGTAATGAGAAAAAAAAAATGGTTCCCCCCCCCCCCCCCTTTTTTCCAAAAAAAAAATCTTTCCCTCAAGATATGGTCATTATCTCAATTCAATTTCCAATGGAGTTTGCAACCATAATTACCCATTTAAATACATCATAAAAGTCTTAAAATAGAAAATGACATACATAATCATGTCTAAAAATAATATATCTTTAATTAGCATTTTTATTAGTAACTTCTAAAAATAAATTGACAGCTAATCACTTCAAGACAATATAAAATTTCTTTATACATAATTTTAAAGCAGTGTACGAGAGGTAATCCAAATTTAACATTGTACTTAAAAGTGATTGTCCATTTACAAGGAAACCCTTGTTTTTTCCCCCTAATTCCTAAACGGGTTGAGCCATTACCCCCAAAACCTTCTAACCATCCCTTTGTGGTATGGAAACTTCTTGTACAATTTCAGAGAGATCCATACACTGTTACACAAGTTATTGTCTGAAAACTAGAAAAATGCTTATTTGGGCCCCTTTTTTGGCCCCTAATTCCTCAACTGTTAGGACCATAACCCCCAAAATCAATCCCAACCTTCCTTTTGTGGTTATAAACCTTGTGTTTAAATTTCATAGATTTCTATTAACTAATACTAAAGTTATTGTCCGGAAACCAAGTGTCTTTGGACAACGACGACAAGTACCAATATACGACCACGGTCGTATAAAAATAAAGAGATGTGGTATGATTTCAAGTGAATGTAAGCAACTGTGCGTCCCTGTACGGCCTGCAACAATGAGCAAAACCCATATGTCTACGGAGCTTTATCAGAACTCAGTATGATTATGGTTCTTTTTTACATGATTTTGTTAAAAAAATTTTGTTTGGCAAGCATACCTTTTCAGCAACTCTAAATTTGTAATCGCTGGAGAAGAATTGTGTGACAGGTAAACTCCACTGAAAAAAAAATCATTACTATAGTATAAAATGTATAAAATAACAAGGTTTGAATGTCTTAAAAATAATATTATTTCATCATTTAAAATTTATTATTGTATCACAACAATATATTTCATAGAGAATGTAATCAAAAGTTAGCGTGTATTAATATATCATATTGCACCAGTGCGAATGAAGCTTCAAATTAGTGATGTTATCGGTGACAACAATATGTTTTAAACAGATTTTTAAGCTTTTCTGTACAATAAAAGGGTTATTGCATCCATATTGGTTAATATAACAGACCTGCCAACATTCACAATTTATGGGGGATTTTGCCGATGAGAGGTGCTGACCTGAATTTTGAATTTCTTTTTTATATAAACTAAACACCTCAAAACAGGCATTCAAATGAGTAGGAAGGGTATTTAAGCATATACATACTCATTAAAAAATATAGTAGTAGATTAAAAACACTTATGACAATATAAGAGGAGCATTATGTCCTCTTGCTCTTAAAATCCCCCATGGAGATTTAGAAAAGTTGACAGGTACATGTATAATATTATCCCTTGTAGAATATATATTGCACTTGAAAGCTAGTGCAATATAAAAATTTACCTCAAACAATATTCATGAAACAACACTGTAGTAATTGCCTGACAATTTAGCAACTAGATTTTAAAGATTTTGACATATTCTTTGATAAATGTATTTGCAATGTAGCATTATGCGATTTAGAAATACTTCCATATAAAATTAAGATCAGTTTCATATTACAAATCTTTCTTTTATAAAATTCATCAGGGGTTCTTTTTAAGCCAAGAATCTTTAAAAGATAATATCCATTACATTATTAAACACGACTTACCTGATAAGGTTGTATAAACCTCGTTTCATTATAAATGGCAGTTCTTTCACAATTTTGACGTGTTTTGCTATAACACATAGTCACCTCAGCATCTGGTGATACTCTGAAACATTAGTAAAAACAAAATTCAACAGCATAAGTATTTGCAAAAACATAAAAAAAACTGAATTAAACCAACTTCAATTTCATCTGGAAATGAATAATAGAGATAACAATTGTTTATCTGTGATTGGTTGATTATTAGTTGCTTAATATTTAGTGGAAAAAAATTCATCAATTTCAATTTTTTCAATTCAAAGATTTTTATTGTTGATATCAATTATATTCAAACAAAGGGATTGGATAAATGTTCAGCCTATAAACATTAATAATAGAATAATAATTGTTTTTTACATATTACACTAAATTTATACATCAATTTGTGTCACACTGATGCAGGGGAGGCAATCCTCCATCATCTAATTGATTAGATTGTACTTCATAAATAGTTCATGCATAATCAATTTACAGCAAATTGACAATATATCAATATTTCTATTCTAAATTGTTTGTTGGCCTGAGGTGCTCTGAGAAAAAGACAAATAAAATGTGGAACCAGCTGTATTGGTATTAGCAACACATAGAAATAAATTTAGATGGCCATATTTCTATACCCTAGCTATCTGTTTAGACAGACTTACTCTGACACAGCTAAATGCAATACTACAAGATGCTATTCAAATCAATACTTAACTGCACAATGATGTACAAGTTCATAAAGAAAGAAATCCAGACTGATAGGGATGTTTAAAGTAGTAGAATAGTGGGATCAAATAGTTCATAATTGTTGATAAATATAACCAGTATGATCTTTTGAGAAAATTGAAGTAAACAAAACCAAATGACCACAGGACACCATGCCCACTCACAGGTTAACATTTAAATGTTCAGTAAACTGAAAAATCCAAATTTGGCATATTTAAACATTTTTTTTTTACATCAAAATAAACTTGTGTACTTATATTAGTTTTAAGTAGATATCAACACAACTCCAGTGTAAATGACCGTAAACCATCACTTTAACCTGATATGGGACTGATGAGCAGAGACTGACAGACAACAGAAAATAGTCAAATTTATTTGATGTTAAGGTGACTTAACCATAAATTTATCTTTAATTCCACTGAACTAATTTTGGTTTAACACTTAAAATTTAAATAAATGTGGATAGTGTCCACATGTGGACACAGATGATGCCCCCGCTTGCATATCATATAGTTATAAAGGGACATAACTGAAGAACGGTAAAAGTGACGATACCCAAATTTGAACTTGATCTGAGTTTTGTGGTAATAAGCATTGTGTGTAAGTCTCATTACATTTGGTTGAGGCTAACTTAAGTAGAGAACAGAAACTAAAAATTCAGCAATTTTTCTATTTGTAAACACGCATAACTCTAGAACAGTTGTGTATAAGTTTTATAACATTTGGTTGAGACAAACTAAAGATAGAGAATGGAAACCAGGCATTAAATGTATTTATAAAGGGACATAACTCAAGAATGCTAAAAGTGTCGCCACCAAATTTTGTACTCAATCTGTATTATGTAGTAATAAGCATTGAATATAAGTTTCATAACATTTGGTTGAGGCAAACTAAAGTTAGAAAACAGAAACAAAAAATTTGTACTTGATCTTAGTTTTGTGGTAATGAATATTGTGTATAGGTTTCATAATGTTTGGTCGGGGCAAACTTAAGTAACAGAATGGAAACTAAAAATTTGCAATCTTTCGATTTATAAAGGGGCATAGCTCAATAATGGTTAAAGTGACACTACCCAATTTCAACTTGATCTGTGTTTTATCAGTGGAAGTCAAAATTAAACATTGCATTGTATAAAGCATTGATTGTAGTTGATTCAACTATAATCATGGACAAAGGAAGATAATTCCAATTTAAAAATTACTTAATATTTAGAAGAAAATTAAAATTTTGCAATTTTTCCATTTATAAAGTGACGCAATCAAAATTCAAACTTGATCTGTGTTTTGTGGTAATAAGCACTGTGTATAAGTTTCATAACATTTGGTTTAGGCAAACTATAATTAGAACGGAAACGAAAAATTCAGCAATTTTTCCATTTGTAAAGGGACATAACTCTAGAACAGTAAAAGTGACGCCACCAAAATTCAAACTTGATCTGTGTTTTGTGGTAATAAGCATTGTGTATAAGTTTCATAACATTTGGTTGTGGCAAACTAAAGTTAGAGAACAGAAACGAAAAATTCAGCAATTTTTCCATTTATAAAGTGACGCCATCAAAATTCAAACTTGATCTGTGTTTTGTGGTAATAAGCATTGTGTATAAGTTTCATAACAAATGGTTGAGGCAAACTAAAGTTAGAGAACGGAAACGATAAATTCAGCAATTTTTTCATTTGTAAAGGGGCATAACTCTACAACGGTAAAAGTGATGCCACCAAAATTCAAACTTGATCTGTGTTTTGTGGTAATAAACATTGTGTATAAGTTTCATAACATTTGGTTGTGGCAAACTAAAGTTAGAGAACGGAAACCAATTTTGTACGTACAGACGAACAAGGGTAAACCGCTACGGCGGGGGCATAAAAACAGCTCTTCATAAAATTAAAATAGAATCAACTAGTTGCTTATAAAATGGTTAACATTACTATTTATTATGGGTGTAAATTGTTTTCAATCATAAATCATAAATAGAAATTTGGTGGGCAACTTTTAAAAAATTAATGATGAAAGTTTCATGGTCAACAGACCCAAAGTGATTGCATAGTCCTTAGGCCAGTTGGGCTTAAAAGGATGAAAAACTGGTCAAATATATTGAACTGTGTAACTTTCAGTCCTTTATATTAACTTACCCGAATGATACATTAAAGGACAATCTAAGCTCCCAATACACACTAAACACCACCATGTAAGTACGATTGAATTCTGAACAGGAATTTAAAATGTCTCCGTCACAATATGTTTCATCTATTGTTGCTAATGTTTTGTTGAATCGATTGACAGTAATCTCTGCATGTAGGTCAACTGAAATAAATAAGAAATAGATAATATTATCAATTCCTAAGGTAATTTCTAACAAAAGGATTTAAATTCAATGGCCATATTACGCCATGTCGGGGCCTTTTATTGCTGACTATACAACATAGGTTGCTCATTGTTGAAGGTAGAACAGTGATCTATAGTAGCTTAAATCAACATCATTTATACTGTTAGATACTTGTCTCATTGGCAATGATACCAACTCTCCTTATTTTACCTATTAAAAGCTGTAACTTGTAAAAAAAATGAGCTTTCAGACTTTTTGAGGGGTAGTAAAGTACTGTAAATTTTCCTCTGCAATATTACTTTAAATATTTTAAATTCATAAATTATTGTACCCATTTATTATTCCTAATCCTTGACCACTGGCAAAAATTATTAATCTAATTAATGTGATAGAAAAATTTAATGAAGGACAATCACTACTGAAATTATAAATGTGAGTTTTTATCATTGTGAACCTGATACTGTCAGCATTAATAAAAATATCACAATAATTTCTGAATTTACAGTAATTTTCATTATTCCATATCCCTAACGTAATATTACATATCTCACATCCTAAAAATAATAAATGTGGATAGTGTCCACATGTGGACACAGATGATGCCCCCGCTTGCATATCATATAGTTATAAAAAGGACATAACTGAAGAAAAAAAGTGACGATACCCAAATTTGAACTTGATCTGAGTTTTGTGGTAATAAGCATTGTGTGTAAGTCTCATAACATTTCGATAAAGGGGCATAACTTAATAATGGTTAAAGTGACACTACCCAAATTCAGCTTGATCTGTGTTTTATCAGTGGAAGTCAAAATTAAACATTGAATTGTATAAAGCATTGATTGTAGTTGATTCAACTATAATCATGGACAAAGGAAGATAACTCCAATTTTAAAAATTACTTGATATTTAGAAGAAAATAAAAATTTTGCAATTTTTCCATTTATAAAGGGGCATAACTCTAGAACGGTTAAAGTGACACCACCAAAATTCAACCTTGATCTGTGTTTTGTGGTAATAAGCATTGCTTATAAGTTTCATAACATTTGGTTGAGGCAAACAAAAATTAGAGAACGGAAACGAAAAATTCAGCAATTTTTCCATTTGTAAAGGAGCATAACTCTAGAACGGTATTAGTGACGCCACCAAAATTCAAAATTGATCTATGTTTTGTGGTAATAAGCATTGTTTATAAGTTTCATAACATTTGGTTGAGGCAAACTAAATTTAGAGAACGGAAACGATAAATTCAGCAATTTTTCCATTTGTAAAGGGGCACAACTCTAGAACGGTCAAAGTGACCCCACCAAAATTCAAACTTGATCTGGGTTTTGTGGTAATAAGCATTGTGTATAAGTTTCATAACATTTGGTTGAGGCAAACTAAAGTTAGAGAACGGAAACCAATTTTGGGACGTATGTACAGACGGACAAGGGTAAAACTTAATGCCCCTTCCACTACAGCTGGGGCATAAAAAGTAAATCACTTCAACTCTATAAAAAGGTTGGTAGTAAATTTAAAAGCGACAATCACAGATCTGCCATCAATACAAAATTCCCTAGATGACAAAAACATTAAGAAATCACTAAAGAAAACTACTGACTTTTGTTGTTGTATTCGTAAGCCAGTTTCTGCTATAAAACCTAACAGAATGTTAGAACTATTATTCATTCACTTACTAGATGTACTTCATGTTCATATCCCATAATGACAATACTTTATACTGTGTTGTCTCCCTTTCATTGGGATATGCCCCTATAATGTTCCACAAGGAATGTATCCAATGACTGATCACATAAAACAATCTATGTGGTATGGGTATTGTTCATTGTTGAAGGCCATACGATGACCTATAGTTGTTAAATGCTATGTCATTTGGTCTCTTATGGAGAGTTGTTTCATTGGCAATCATACCCCATCTTCTTATTTTTATGTTTTATTGAATGGACTATGGAACACAACTTCATAAAAGCAAATAATTTGTATATTGTGGCATAATGTCTATAAATTCATATTGATTTTTATTTGTCAAAAATATCCGTCAATATTAACAAAACATCCAAATAAGTATAAATGCCTTTAATCAAATCTTACCATCATGTCTCTTCTTTCTACTGTTCCTAATCAATGTGTTCTGTATCTCGTTAGTATTAATGTTGCCAACATTACTGTATTGTGGTCCATTGGCATTGTCTATAACTACAATGATGTTATTATCATCTGGTTTCTTTGTCTAAAATTCACAATTTACTACGTTATAAATTAAGAAAAAACTTTATTATTCTAAAATAAATTGCTTCGCCGAGCGCAGCTGGATACAACCGCAGAGGTCCAACCCTGAACAGTTGGGGCAAAAATGGACACAATATTCGCACTTGATACAGGTCTGAATTTGGATAATAGGTTTCTGACACAGAATAACTGTAGTCAAATAACTTAGAATTGGTTATATGATTTGAATTTATATTCAATTTTTTGCTTTTGTGCAATACACTTTGCTGTTGCGAATTGACCCCCCTCCCCCCACAAAAAAAAATAAATAAATGGGGAATGTGTCCATGGGACACAGATGATGCCCCCGCTTGCATATAACCTTATAAAAAGCCATAACTCAAGAACTGTAAAAGTGACACTACCCAAATTTGAACTTGATCTGAGTTTTGTGGTAATAAGCATTGTTTATAAGTTTCATAACATTTAGTTGACGTAAACTTAAATTAGAGAACAGAAACGAAAAATTCAACAATTTTTATATTTTTAAAGGGGCATAACTCTAGAACAGTAGTAGTGACGACACTAAAATTCTATCTTTATCTGTGTTATGTGGTAATTAGCATTGTACATAAGTTTCATATTATTTGGTTGAGGCAAACTAAAGTTATAGAACAGAAACAAATATTTCAGCAATTTTGAGATTTGTAAAGAGGCATAATTCTAGAACGGTAAAAGTGACGCCAACAAAATTCAAACTCAATCTGTGTATTGTGGTAATCAGCATTGTGCATAAGTTTCATAACATTTGGTCAAGGCAAACTCAAGTTAGAGAACAAAAACTAATATTTCAGCAATTTTTTCATTTGTAAAGGAGCATATCTTTAGAACGGTGAAAGTGACACCAACAAAATTCAAACTTGATCTGTGTTTTGTGGTTATAAACGTTGTGCATAAGTTTCATAACATTTGGTTGAGGCAAACTCAAGTTAGTGAACGGAAACAAAAAATTCAGCAATTTTTCATTTGTAAAGGGGCATAACTCTAGAACGGTAAAAGTGACGCCACCAAAATTCAAACTTGATCTGTGTTTTGTGGTACAGTCAAACCTGAGTAAACCGGACCCTGAATAAACTGGTTTCCTGTCCATTCCGGCCAAAAATGAAAGTCCCATTTTTTTCCCTTCAAAGTCTTTGTTAAAATACCCTTTGTAAACCGGACCCTGTGTATTCCGAATTCCGGACTAATGATGCAGTCCCAATACTCTTAATTACATCAATTATTACCTGTCAAAACCTGTTTGTCTAATTAATTTTAAATGATAACAGTATTGATATGCAATCAAAACATATTTGTTTATACAAGATGGCTTTACAGGATAATCAATTAGCCAGGTTTTAAACCGTGAACTTACAATGGTACAGTCGTGAACTGTATTAATAAAACACTATATAAAAGTGTAAATTAAACTAAAAGACACGCCGAATATATCTCGGATAGAACTTACGTTGTAACTTAGATCATTTTTTTTTAAATTGCGGAGTTGGAAAATTTACATCCTGGGTTCCCTGTTGTGAACCCCTAAACCAATGACCCTGATAATGAAGAACACCCGGATGACAACAATCAATCAGTATTGTACACTGTACGACAATGTTTTTATCGTGATGAAATTTCGTTATATAAAATTCTGGCTTTTTAATCGGCTATACCAACGTCGGAAATGAGCGATGGAAGTAAAACGAAACTCTCTTGTCACAATTCAAACAACGCGATGATTATGATGCAAATGAAAACAATGAACACAAAGTGAAAGTGAAAGTGACATGTTGAATACTGATGCTACCGAGGTCTATTTGATATACTAGGATATGTAAAAAACGGTTAAAATATTAATTTTTTTGAGGTCGAGGAAAACCAGTTTCTTAAATGTATATAGCCAATGAATAAGAAGATTCAAAACAACGATCATGCGAAGTTATAACGTTATTGCGTGTTGTATTAATGAGTTTATAGCTTACAACCAAACAGAACTTTTACATGCAATATATCGGACGTCACAAGTCAATAACTTCCGGTCAAAACGGAAACCTGAATAAACCGGCCCACTGTCCAAACCGGCCCTTTTTCATAGTCCCGTAGCCGGCCGGTTTATACAGGTTTTACTGTAATAAACATTGTGGATAAGTTTCATAACATTTGGTTGAGGCAAACTAAAGTTAGAGAACGGAAACGAACAATTCAGCAATTTTTCCGTTTGTAAAGGGGCATAACTCTCGAATGGTAAAAGTGATGCCTCCAAAATTCAAACTTGATCTGTGTTTTGTGGTAATAAGCATTGTGGATAAGTTTCATAACATTTAGTTGAGACAAACTTAAGTTAGAGAATGGAAACTAAATTTGGGACGTACGGACGGACGTACAGACAGACAAGGGTAAATCTTAATGCCCCCTCCTCTACTGTGGGGGTATAAAAATTACCCCCCCCCTTTTTTTTGCTATTGTGCAATACACTATGCTGTTGCATATTTACCCCCACCCACTTTTATTTTGCAAAAAAAATATTTGAAGAATTTTTCTTTTTAAATTTCTGAAATCTGAAATGAGAAAAAATTGACTCCCCACAATTTCTTTTTAGCCCCTTCCACCCAAATTTTTTTTTTCACCTCCCCCCCCCTTTTTTCCCCCCAAAAAAATTCTTTCCCTCTAGATATGGTCATAATCTCAATTCAAATTTCCAATGGAGTTTGCAACCATAATTACCCATTTAAATACATCATAAAAGTCTTAAAATAGAAAATGACATACATAATCATGGCTAAAATTAATATTCCTTAATAGTAACTTCTAAAAATAAATTGACAGCTAATCATCTCAAGACAATACAACATTTCTTTATACATAATTTGAAAGCAGTGTAATGGAGGTAATCAAAATGTTGCGTTTAGATTCTCTCCCTTACACTGCTTTTAAATAGTCTTAAGTAATTGTCCATTAACCAGGAAACCCTTGTTTTCCTCCTTTTTTGCCCCTAATTCCTAAACGGTTTGAGCCATAACCCCCCAAAGTAAATCCTAACCATCCCTTTGTGGTATGGAAACTTGTGGTATAATTTCAGAGAGATCCATTAACCGTTTAACAAGTAATTGTCTGGAAACTAGAAAAATGCTTATTTGGGCCCCTTTTTGGCCCCTAATTCCTAAACTGTTAGGACCAACCAAAATCAATCCCAACCTTCCTTTTGTGGTTATAAACCATGTGTTTAAATTTCATAGATTTCTATTTAATTATACTAAAGTTATTGTCTGGAAACCTACTGTCTTTGGACGACGCTGACGACGTGATACCAATATACGACCACAAAATTTTTTGCGGTCGTATAAAAATATTCGTAATTTTTTTCAAAAGGGTTTTATCATTCAATGTATATTGAAAACTGTATATATAAATATAAGTGATTGTCGTTATTAAGATTTGATCCTTATAGAATACTGCATGCAGATATTACTCCAAACAAATTCTGTAAAAGGGAAAAATACAAAAGATTTTGAAAAGAAGAGCAAAGACTGTTTATACATTCTTGTACAGCATCTGAGTTGAACATTGATTTTTAATACAGTTCATATTGCTCAATCTTCAGTTTCCCATGTAAGGCTTGTGATTTATTGTTATATTTTAGTACATTATGTTGAACGTAGTACTGTAAGGCTTGTGATGTATTGTTATATTCTAGATCATTACTTTTGAACGTAGTACTGTCAGGCATGTGGTATATTGTTATATTTTAGTACATTACGTTTGAACGTAGTACTGTCAGGCATGTGGTATTTTGTTATATTCTAGTACATTGCATTTGAACTTAGTGGTTTATTGTTATATTTTAGTACATTACATTTGAACGTAGTGGTTTATTATTATATTTTAGTACATTACATTTGAACATTGTACTGTAAGGCTTGTGGTGTATTGTTATATTTTAGTACACTACATTTGAACGTAGTACTGTAAGGTTTGCGCTTTATTGTTATATTTTAGTACATTACATTTGAACGTAGTACTGTCAGTTTTTCTACAACATATAAATTTTGACTGTCATATTTAAAAAATTTAAACATTGATCAAAAAACAGTTTTACATCCCAACTTCCACTCTCCTATAAAAAAAAAAACACACACAATCAAATAAAAATTGAATACATACTGTAGTCTTTTCCTCCCCAGGAAGTTCATTAGTCTCTTCCTTTCCACCAGTATTCTCCTGTGAGTTGTTCATCTCTGTATGGTTATTATCAACTACTGTAAAAAAATTAATTTATTGATATGATGTTATCATCTACTACTAGGGGGTGTTTAACGACCTTGACTACCCATGAGGGTCTCGCACGGTCAGTATGTGTTATCATCATCTTTTTTTTTAAAGATTTTTTCTTACTGATCATACAGTAAACAAATGGATAGATACCTGACCACTAGACATTGATGAAAGATTCCATACTCAGTGGGTATAAAAAATTTCAAAGTATCATCAAACAGGACGTGACTGCCTGGCAGATTTGAAAATCACTTACATGGCGCAACTCATCATTATATTGTTCCAGACCAAAGTATCAAATTATTCCTTCATACAGGAGCAGAATAAAATGCTTCGCTGAGCGCAGCCTGATACGACCGCAGAGGTCGAACCCTGAACAGTTGGGGCAAATTTGGACACAATATTCAAGCTTGATACTGTCTGAATTTGGATTGTGATCAAATTTTTGATACTAAATAGGTTTCTGACACAAAATAAATGTGGTCAAAGATCTTACAAATCTATTGCGCAATACTGTGAAATTTAAGGTTTTTTCTTTCTTCTTGAAACTTTTCAAAAATTTGAAATTTGTAAAAATTTTGAAAACAAAATATGAAGCCCTTAAAAAAATTGGAACCCCCCACCATTTTTGAATCCCTCCTTGGAGCAATTACCTCCAAACTCAATCCCAGCCTTTCCTTTGTAGTATGGAACCTTGTAGTACAATTTCAGAGAGATCCATTCACTTAAACACAAGTTATTGTCTGTAAACTAGAAAAATGTTTGTTTATGGCCCTTTTTTGGCCCCTCATTTCTGCATGTATGGGACAATTACCCCCAAACTCAATCCCAGACTTCCCTTTGTGATATGGAACCTTGTGGTACAATGTCAGAGAGATCCATACACTCACACACAAGTTATTGTCTTGAAACTACAAAAATGCTTGTTTTTGGCCCCTTTTTGGCCCTTAATTCCTAAACTGTTGGCACCATAACCCCCAAAATGAATCCCAACCTTCTACTTGTGGTATTAAACATTGTGGTACAATTTCAGAGCAATCAAAATACTTATACACAAGTTATTATCCTGAAATTAGAAAAATGCTTGTTTTGGGTCCTAAACGGTTGGGACCATCATCCCCAAAATCAGTCCCAACCTCCCTATTATGGTATTAAACCTTCTTAAAAAATTTCATAGAGATCCATTCATTCAAACTAAAATTATTGTCCGGAAACCAATGTGTCTTCGGACGACGACGCAGACGATGACGACACCATACCATTATACGATCCAAAAAATGTTTTTGCGGTCGTATAAAACATGTGACCTCAAAGTCATTGCTCAGCAGGAATCATTAAATCTCAAAGTATTGTATGAGTAAATGCTCATCTGAATAATGCTTTCATTGTACTGTTGATTCATTATTATTAGCGGGATACCAATTGTTCGTGGATTTAGTAGGTATACCAGTAATTGAAACAAGAATTTTCTATAGGCTTGTATGCAGACTATGGCAAAACCACAAAATGAAATATTCATGAAAATACAGAGTTTCCTCAATCCATAATAAAATGCTTCGCTGAGCGCAGCTGGATACAACCGCAGAGGTCCAACCCTGAACAGTTGGGGCGAAAAATGGACACAATATTCGTGCTTGATACAGGTCTGAATTTGGATTGTAATTAAATATATGACACATAATAGGTTTCTGAGTTTTACTGTGCGTACTGTTGTGCGTTTGTTTTTTCTACATTGGCTAGAGGTATAGGGGAGGGTTGAGATCTCAAAAAACATGTTTAACCCCTCTGCATTTTTGCGCCTGTCCCAAGTCAGAAGCCTCTGGCCTTTGTAAGTCTTGTATCATTTTTAATTTTAGTTTCCTGTGTATAATTTGGAGTTTAGTATGACGTCCATTATCACTGAACTAGTATACATATTTGTTTAGGGGCCAGCTGAAGGATGCCTCCGGGTGCGGGAGTTTCTCGCTGCATTGAAGACTTATTGGTGGCCTTCGGCTGTTGTCTGCTCTATGGTCAGGTTGTTGTCTCTTTGACACATTCCCCATTTCCATTCTCAATTTTATTCTGAAGTACTGTAGTCAAAGAACTTAGAATTGGTTATATAATTTGTATTGAATTTTTTGCTTTTGTGAAATACACTATGCTGTTGTGTTTTCACTCCCCCCCTCTTTTTGCCAAAAAAAAAATATTTGAAGAAATTTTCTTTTAAATTTCTGAAATCTGAAATGAAAAAAAAAATTGCCCCCCCCCTCCAAATTTCTTTTTTACCCCCCTCCCCCCCCCCCCTTTTCCAAAAAAAAAATTCTTTCCCTCAAGATATGGTCATAATCCCAATTCAAATTTCCAATGGAGTTTGCAACCATAATTACCAATTTAAATACATCATAAATGTCATAATTGTCCATTAACCAGGAAACCCTTGTTTTTCCCCCTTTTTTGCCCATAATAACGGTTTGAGCCATAACCCCCCTAAAGCCAATCCTAACCATCCCTTTGTCGTATGGAAACTTGTGGTATAATTTCAGAGAGATCCATACACTTAAACACAAGTTAATGTCTGGAAGTTACAAAAATGCTTATTTTTGGCCCCTAATTCCTTAACTGTTGGTACCATAACCCCCAAAATCAATCCCAACCTTCCTTTTGTGGTATTGAACCTTATGGTAAAACTTCATAGAGATCCATTCACTTAAACTAAAGTTATTGTGCGAAAACCAATGTGTCTTTGGACGACAACGATGACGACGACGCCAACGTCGCGGTCGTATAAAAATTGGTACCCACGAAAATAAATGAATCCAGAGTATAACACATCATATTAAAATATAATAAGTAAGCCTATATAAGAAAAAGTGGCCAAAGATCATATTCCAACACATTTCTTTAGCTCATTATTTGTAAGTGTATTATGTATGAGGAGAACTATAGATGAAGGGCAATAAACTTGACAAACTACTAATACTTACTTTTATAGTAGGGTGGGTTGTTTGGTGGTTGAATGACAATTGGTGGAGTATAATGATCAATAGCTCCTTGATCTTCATTATAAGGTGGTGGACAACAGAAACATTCACCAGGTTCGTGGAATATCACAGGCACTCCAGAAGGCACTGCAAATGTAAATATAATTATTCCCAGTGTTAATCTTTAGGGCTTTTCCAGGAAAAAAATTAATTTTTCATATACCCCAACACCTATGATTTTTATTTTCATTTGTAACAGAATTTTCTTTTTCTTTTACAGTGATAAATGAATTGAAAGGTTATAAGTGTATGTTAAGTTTTTTCTGAATACTATATTAAAGATTCTTCGAACAAAATGTGTTTAAGTAAAATGATAACATATATTGATTAATTTTGTGGGGAAATAATACTTCAATTTATTTTAAATTATTGCACTGTTATTAAAATCCGAACATTTCTGGTAAAAATAAAAGCACTCTAACTCCTCCAATATAAAATAAACAGCTGTGCCTTGAGCGCATGATACGCCCGTCGTCTTGTGTGTGAATTTTTATGCAATAATCATAAATAGTTTCTGACATACGGCACGACATGCGAAAACCCCCCCTTTTTTTTTTACAAAAATCTCAATATCTCTAAAATAAAATTTTGAATCAAAACCAAAAAGTATAAAGATCTTTAGATTAATATAACTAAGAAGTGTGTAAAATTTTAAGCAACAATCATAAATCGTATTTGAGATACGGCGCGACATGTGAAAACCCCACTTAAAAAACTAGAGGCTCTCAAGAGCCTGTGTCGCTCACCTGATTCTACTTTGGTTTTGGAAATAATGTTAAAATAGATTAAAATCATAACAGATGCCCTAATAATGAGTGAGGCCAAATTTGGTTTAGTATTGGCCCTGTAATTTAATAAAAAAACGTGGTGGCCATCTTGAACAGTAAATCAGCAACAAAGGGCATTTAACGCGTGATATGATTATATGAAAAGGTCATGTTTTAATAAAGATATTAATCAAACATTGTCTTTATTCATTGAATCAATGGTTATATATATACAAGTACAACATGATTAGCCCAGATAAAACTCTATCTGTCTACTTTTTATGATGAAAAAACTTGTCAACCACCTTGTCACACAAGTTTTCAAGGCATTGCTTGTCACAGTTTAGCTTTATATGCAGAATGTTTTGCAGGGTTTCCTGCTTCATTCTGTTTCTATGGTCATACAAGTTATACCTGGGAAAGACCCTTTCTGTCTCTGCTGTGCTTAATGGCGATACAGCAGCTGTGCTCAGTAAATGAACAATGTTAGGATATAGTGAACAGTGAAAATTTGAATTAAAAATAAAGAATACAGAAAAGATGACCAAGGCACCCTACCCACCCTGCTACAAACACCCTCTTTAACTTTTCCCATAATTCAAAAGACCTAAACATATAAATTATAAAGCCAGAAGTATGAAGACATATCTTAGAATATCTTAAGTAGGTAACTCAATGGTAGGAAAAAATAAAAATGAGTTATCTTTCTTTATTCGGGTGTGCTCCTTCTTTGGAGGATTATACACAGTACATAGAAGAAGTAAATACGATTAACAATGGCGGGCCGGTTTTGTTATTTTCGTAACAAAAGTGAGGGCAGGACGTCTGAATTTGCTAAAAAAAATTACGGAAAACAAGTGAAACGATGTTTTTAACAAGTTGATTATGGTTTTCGACTTTCTGTCAATTACGTTTTCTCCATGAAACTACGGTAAACATTGCAAATTGTGTAGTCGTATAAACATTTCTTCATGCCGACTGACGGATATCGAATTTCTATTTGAATGAATTAATGTTGGTGATCATTTATGACCCATCCGATAAACGGATTATCTGTAACAACAGATTATGACACCTGTTGTAACCGTTGATTAGCTTGGGGTCGTAAATAAAATCATAAACTTGCCGCAAGGTAAAATTTCATAATGGCGGATCATAACATTTATAAAGAACAAAATAAAATACAATCGATCTTCAAAAAGGCAGGGCGCCCTGGAAACTGCAAAAAAGGCACAGGGTGGCACTTGGGAAAGGGCGGGCGGACCGCCCTGTGAAAACGGCCTAGCTGGAACACTGACTTCATCAGCACCTCATAAGAAACATTTATGCCATGTTTGGTTTCATTCCATTCAGTGCACCTCTAGAAGAAGCATTAGTATGTATTTCCAATAGGGTCTTATGTTAAAGGAAGTCCCCCATCTGGCGGCCATCTTGGATGATGGATCAGCTTCAAAGTAACAACACTTGGTCAGCACCTCAAAAGGAACATTCATGCCATGTTTGGTTTCATTCCATTCAGTGGTTCTTTAAAAGAAGACATTTGTATGTATTTCCCATAGGGTCCTTTGTTAAACTAAGTCCACCCGCTGGCGGCCATCTTGGATGATGGATCGGCTTCAAAGTAACAACACTTGGTCAGCACCTCATAATTAACATTCATGCCATGTTTGGTTTCATTCCATTCAGTGGTTCTCTAAAAGAAGACATTTGTAAATATTTCCCATAGGGTCCTATGTTAAACTAAGTCCCCCGCAGGCGGCCATCTTGGATTATGGATCGGCTTCAAAGTAACAACACTTGGTCAGTACCTCATAAGGAGCATTCATGCCATGTTTGGTTTCATTCCATTCAGTGGTTCTTTAAAAGAAGACATTTGTATGTATTTCCCATAGGGTCTTATGTTAAATTAAGTCCCCTGCTGGTGGCCATCTTGGATGATGGATCAGCTTCAAAGTAACAACACTTGGTCAACACCTCATAAGGAACATTCATGCCATGTTTGGTTTATTCCATTTAGTGGTTCTCTAAAAGAAGACAATTGTATGTATTTCCCATAGGGTCCTATGTTACGCTGGCAGCCATCTTGAATGATGGATCATCTTCAAAGTAACAACACTTGGTCAACACCTCATAAGGAACATTCATGCCATGTTTGGTAACATTCCAATTAGTGGTTCTCTAGGAGAAGTTCAAAATGTAAAAAGAAAACGACGATGACGACGACGACGGACGCCAAGTGATGAGAAAAGCTCACTTGGCCCTTCGGGCCAGGTGAGCTAAAAAAATCAATATCTCTAAAATAAAATTTTGAATCAAAACCAAAAAGTATACAGATCTTTAGATTAATATAACTAAGAAGTGTGTAAAATTTTAAGCAATAATCATTAATCGTTTTTGAGATACGGCGTGACATGTGAAAAACCCCTTCCCCTTTTTTTTACAAAATACTCAATAACTCAAAAATAAAATTTTGAATCATCACCAAAAAGTATACAGATCTTAAGATTAATATAAATAAGAAGTGTGTAAAGTTTTAAGCAATAATCATAAATTGTTTTTGAGATACGGCGCGACATGTGAAAAAAAACACACACCTGTTTTAGTTACTAAGTCCCTTAACTCAAAAAGTTTCAATCTTATTTTCACCAAAAAATATACAGATTGTTTGACCATCATAAGAAACAACTATTTCAAGTTTCATGACATTTGGATAAGTCGTTCTCAAGTTACAGTGCGACATGTTTATGCCGGACAGACAGACGGACAGACGACATTTGTATACCATAATACGTCCCGACAAAATTTTGACGGGCGTATAAAAAACAACTTTTCAAACATAGCTGTTAAAGTCAATCAGATACAGTAAAATTTTACTATCCCTGTATCAGTTACTTTTATATGGTCATTAAATATGACACACTATCAAATTTCAAATAGAATTCACAAATTTCAAATAGAATTAAAAAAATTCCCAACAGAACTCACAAATTCCAAATAGGACTCACAAATTACCAATAGAACTCACAAATTCCAAATAGAACTCACACATTCCTTTTTACTTACTGTGAATTCATTATCATTTCTGGATTTATTATCATTTGTGGAGTAATGGATTTCTTAGGTAAAAGGTGAACAACAAACAAAAGTGTTCAACAGCAAAAAATTTCATATAGAATTGTTTACTGAATTGGTAAAAACAACTATTAATCAAGTATCCAGGAAAATAAAATTTTTCCTCAATTCCCAAAATAAATGAATTGACAGTATCAGATGTTACTTACTTGTTGTGGTTGTAGTTTTTATTGATGTTAGATTTAGATGCAGTATATGTTGTGTGATAGGTGATGACGTTGTTGTAGATCGTGCATGCTTGGTTCCTCCAGCATGTAACCTGAAACATGTGTGTAAAATTACACTCCTTATAAATACAAGTCAGAGTAGAACCCACAATCAATTCCTTCTATTTGTATACTTTTTTATACTTCATCTTTTAATAATTATTTCAGTTTCATCTTTTATGATCACATTTTTTTGTAAAATTTTGCATACAACCTTGGCTTGTTGAACTATAACTGAAAATCAAAAAAATAATGCATTTATCTCTTTTATTATCTGAAGTATTACTTATTGAATTCTTTTAAAATAGGTGAACATTTGTATAGAGAGCACATGAAATCGGTGAAAAACCTTCTTAAATTTGTCTTAAAATCATCAAATCTTTCATTTCTAATACATAGATTTTTCTTGAAAAAATATATGTTGTTGATACATAAATTTCCATTTTAATGATATAAATAATCATATGGTCACAGACTTCCTTTTTTGTCTAATAATCAATCTGTTACCTACTTGGTAATGAAAAACGTCAAAATTCAACGTTTATCGGCCCTCCAATGTGATGATGTTACGATTATTTCGACGTTTTGTGGCATTTTTCCGCATATAACACCACTTTGAATGATGTATACCGTAAAAACGAAGTCGGTGACCTTATCATTATTTTACATTAAGCAATCATATACTTTGGTGATAATTTTAATACAAAAGGTATGGGATACTGTAGTGTAGAAAGCCCCTTCATGTTTTATCAGTTTTTCATTTTTCTAACATATATTTTGTCATAATTGTCTTTATGTAATTAATACTATTCCATTGTTTTTTTCAATAATACATACTGTTTAAACTAAAGAGAAATTAATGTGAATGTGATATCGTATGTAATTTTGTCCTCCATACTTTTACCTTAGTTCTATATATGAGTTGCGTCTAATAGAAATCGACCTTATAGAAGTGCACATAAACATGTATATGTATAAGACTTTGATTTTGGAACATTCAAATACGAAATAAAAGATTGATTTTGGTCTGTTTTGAAGGGTTCTTATATTAACTCAGTTTTCAAACATTTGCAGACTTTGCATAGAGATTTTTTCTACCAAAATAGGTTCACAGATGTATTGTTTTCATTTGCAATTTTGCCTAAGGTTTATTTCTATCCAATGCAGCTCATATATAAACAGTGTTAAAGACCTACTGTGACTTAGCATCATTGACAGAAGGTGAACTACTAGTTGTATCTTGTGAATCTTTATGTCTCTCCAATATATATAATACAGTTATTGCTACAAGACTGAAATGTAAAGTTCATAGCTCAATAATATGTGTTTTATACAGAAAACATAATTAATTATACATAAAACTGCCACCATAACATATTATTTAAATAAATGTGGATAGTGTCCACATGAGGACACAGATGATGCCCCCGCTTGCATATCATATAGTTATAAAGGGACATAACTGAAGAACGGTAAAAGTGACGCTACCCAAATTTGAACTTGATCTGAGTTTTGTGGTAATAAGCATTGTGTGTAAGTCTCATAACATTTGGTTGAGGCTAACTTAAGTAGAGAACAGAAACTAAAAATTCAGCAATTTTTCTATTTGTAAACACACATAACTCTAGAACGGTTGTGTATTAGTTTTATAACATTTGGTTGAGACAAACTAAATTTTTATGTTTATAAAGGGACATAACTCAAGAATGGTAAAAGTGTCGCCACCAAATTTCATACTTAATCTGTATTATGTAGTAATAAGCATTGTGTATAAGTTTCATAACATTAGGTTGAGGCAAACTAAAGTTAGAAAACGGAAACAAAAAATTTGTACTTGACCTTAGTTTTGTGGTAATGAATATTGTGTATAGGTTTCATAATGTTTGGTTGGGGCAAACTTAAGTTACAGAATGGAAACTTAAAATTTTGCAATCTTTCGATTTATAAAGGGGCATAACTCAATAATGGTTAAAGTGACACTACCCAAATTCAACTTGATCTGTGTTTTATCAGTGGAAGTCAAAATTAAACATTGCATTGTATAAAGCATTGATTGTAGTTGATTCAACTATAATCATGGACAAAGGAAGATAACTCCAATTTAAAAAATTACTTGATATTTAGAAGAAAATAAAAATTTTGTAATTTTTCCATTTATAAAGAGGCATAACTCTAGAACGGTTAAAGTGACACCACCAAAATTCAAACTTGATCTGTGTTTTGTGGTAATAAGCATTGTGTATAAGTTTCATAACATTTGGTTGAGGCAAACTCAAGTTAGAGAACGGAAACCAATTTTGGGATGTACGTACGGACAATGGTAAAACTTAATGCCCCCACCGCTACGGCGGGGGCATAAAAATAAATCCACTGCAAATACTTTCAAGTTCCTTTTTCTGAAAGAGTTACACCAGTTGACCTGAGGTCAAGTGTAAAGAACATGGTTAGACAATCGACTCTTACTGTGTCATAATAGCATTGTGACGTTAAAAATGTATGGGAAAATGTACAAATTTATGTGAAGTGGTCTATTAAAAAAGATCTGCAATTCATACAAACTTGCATTAATTGTCATGTAAGAATATCAGGTTAAAGTTACTAAAGTGAATTTTGCTTTTTTGGGTGGTGACTAATCTCAAAATTTGTCTATCTGTAAGATCTCAGTACTGCATCTATGTAAATGTGCATGCATTCATATGAAATACAAGTAGACCGGAAGATTCTCTCTGAAGCAGGATATCTTACATGCACATACATGAAATCAAGGAGATATCTCACAAATCATAAACTGTTAACACAGAGATATGTCTCACCTATTTGTTATTTTGATAATGCAAATGTTGAAATTAAAATAGCAATACTTTAACATGTAAGTTATGCAAATATTCAAAGTCAATGAACCATGACTGAAGGTACAGGGCTAAACAATCTCCATGGAAATGAGATGTGCCAATGCTAATACAACTGCAAACCAAATACCATTGACTTTTCATAAGACTTTCCCTTAGCTTTAAACAAACCTAAACACAAACATAAACTTGTAAACTACGTAGAAGTTTCAAAGTCAATGAACCATAATTAGGGGGTAGGCTTATATAATCTCCATGGAAATGAAACTTGCAAATGCCAATACATTTGCATACCGAATACCATTGACTTAACATTAGTGGTTTATCTTAAGCTGACCTAATCACAAACTTATACATGTAAACTAAGCAAAAGTTTCAAAGTCAATAGACCATGACTGAGGGGTAAGGACTAAATATTTTCCATGGAAATGAGATGTGCTAATGCTTATACAACTGCATACCAATTATCATTGACCTACCACTAACGGTTCCCCTTAAACTGACCTAATCACAAACTAATACATGAAAACTAAGCAAAAGTTTCAAAGTCAATAGACCATGAATGAGGGGGCGGGGCCAAATAATCTCCATGGAAATGAGATATGCCAATGCTTATACAACTGCATACCAAATATCATTGACCTACCACTAGTGGTTTCCCATAAACTGACCTTATCACAAACTAATACATGTAAACTAAGCAAAGTTTCAAAGTCAATAGACCTTGACTGAGGGGGCGGGGCCAAATAATCTCCATGGTAATGAGATGTGCCAATGCTAATACAACTGCATACCAAATATCATTGACCTACCACTAGTGGTTCACCATGAACTAGACCTAATCACAAACTGATACATTGTTGACGCCGCCGCCACTGCCGCCGTCGTCACAGAAGCCGGGAAACATCATACCTATGTCTCGCTTTTTGACTTCGTCAAGGCGAGACAAAAATGAAATCACAGTATTATAAATATAACTTACCAGAAAGCCATGATGAGTATTAAGGTGATAATTATAATTTGTATAAAGCGATTGCTGCACCATCCGTTGTCTGTAGGAGGTGATGTCTTTCTGCTGCTGTGATGATTGTGAGATGAACGATGACCATATTTGTGACTTGGTGATGATGATGATGATTTCTTTGGTGGTGTACTACTGCAAACAAAATAAAATAAACAATTGCAAGTAATTTCTAACTCAAATGGAATCTTAAATGTATTTTTGTCTGTTGGAATTAGTATGGCATAAAACTGATTTGTTTTTTTCTGTTTGAAACTATATCTTTTGCAGGTAAACATGTGTGGTGTTACATGTAATATCTTATAGAAGTCTGTTTGAAGTTGTATAAATGTTTTTGTTAGCATTTAGCTATTGAAATCACTTGTTTTGTTTTTTCTTATGGTTATTGTTTTGTAGTGTCTAGATCACCATTGTGTGAACTGAGTGTGAAATTTTGTCTCAGTGTCCAGAGTTTTTTCAAATCCTTTGTTTTGAGTTTCCTGAAAAAGGGTAATCCATCTCATTTGGCAATGAGTGAAAATCTGTAATAAATCTACCACTTACTGTTAAAATGTCAATTTGGGGCTAAATTTGTATCAATTCCCACTTGGCAATGAGCTTAAATCCATAGCTATATACTATTGATCACCAAAAAAGTTTAATTTTCAGCAATTAAAAAAAAAAAGAATCACACATTGTCTTGATAACCATACCACCACTTGTAATTCAAAAGTATTGGAAAACAGGAAGTAGGTGTCTGACAGATCAAAACACACACATGTGTTGCAACTCATCACTGTTAAGCTGCTCACCAAATATGAAGTCATTCTATTTTAATAGGAGTTGTGACGAAAATATTTTTGTTCATTCAACATACTGAAAAATTCGAAATATTAGTAAAAGGGAAGTAGGCTTCTGACAGATTCCTATAAATTGCATACACATTACAACTTAAAACTGTCATACTGCTGTCCAAAAAGTGTGATGAAAACATTTGTTGGATGCACGGACGGACATGTTGATTGCAATGTAGCCCCACTCCTGGAGAAGGGTTATAATATGATAAATTCTTATGGGTTGGCATCCATAACTGTTACAGCTTATCTATCTGCATATTTCAGCAGTCAGGTAACAAGTTGACTACCATGTGCAATCCAAAATAAAATATTATACAGTTTATACAACATCAAATATTTCTGTAGCAATATATACGTGAATTATGAAATATTATATTATGATATAATACCTTGACAGATAATGTAATAATATATTTATAATTGTGACTTACCTAACAGTGCTAGCACTACATGATGACTTAGAACTGACCGTTGATTTTAAACTATCGTAACGTTTTAATTTTGATAATTTTTTGTTCATTTTTTCAAGTTCATCAATTCTCACTTCTAAATTGTCTGTTAATTTACACAATTCTTTAACTGCACCAACATTCTCCATGAAAATACGATCCTGAATAAAGCAAGTAAAAGTTAATGATTTTAAATGGAAAGATTTTTACAGTAGGAATTTCTGTTTAAATCATCATTTAAGATTGATGCAATACAATGCACTACACTTATGCGTCTCCTTTCTGAATAGTTATTAAAAGAAATGTGTTTGACTATTTTAAAAGTCAAAATGTAAGTAAAAAATGAAACAAAATAAAAACCAAGTACAAATACAGTTACAGTTGGTGAATGGGACAATGTTACAGGTAGTAACGGAAGTAAATTTTTTATATGTGATTCATTCATTTATCAACTATTTATCTTAATAACTCTCCTTAATGATAAGATTAATATAATGCATGTGACCTTCTTCAGACCATTTACTATAATAGTTTTGTACTTGACGCACCTTTCAAAAGATACCATTATGATAGTATAGTAATATTGTCAACATGTTAGACTTTGTTATCTTGACTAGCATATATTTTTAGCTCTTAAGCAATACAGTTGTACTAATCAATAAAGACAAACAATGTTGTCAAATGTTAGTGATTGACTGGCCATACATTTTCCATTGATGTACCTTTCAGGTACTAAATTTGTGTATTCTATACAAAACAGGAAAAAAATAAAGGAGTAACTAGAATTGTTTTAATCAACACATGAAGTTCTACGGGATTTAATGCTTTAGAAATATCTCTATGTATGTATGACAAAAACATTAAAAAATTTAATTATTGTAAATTCAGAAATTATTGCAAGGTTTTTATTATTGCGAATAATGCGACTTGTTGAGAATCATAATAATAACTCGCATTCCGATATCTGTACAGTAAAGTCTTTTAAAATCAATGGAAATGAAATTGATTAAGACATATTTTCTAAACTTATCTCATATGATTTTAAAATTCAAGGTTCATATAAAGAGTGGTGCTAAAAAGTTCAAGGGTGGAGGAGCACAACAGTGCAAATAGCCCATGGTGATCCCTGTCTACTTTATCAAAATATTGAAAAAAAAAAGAAGTGGCTGCAAGGAAGATCCTAGATAGCATCCTTAGTAAAACTTATTTTCTGGCGTAATACGTCCTTTTTACAGAGGATAAGGAATATGACATGAAAGTTTTCAGTTTAACCGAATCTGTCATTGGATGAGCAGAATGAAGGACTGGCAGATAACATGAATATATCTAAAACCCAGTCTATGAGATGGACAATTATTAACTTTTCTATATATGTTAAAACAAATTTTGAACAAAATTGATCTTAAACAAGTATAGCTTTGTAAAATCTTAGAATAAGATTCCAGCACATTCGAAACCACAACATCTTTGATTTCATTCTGGCATTTCTCTACATTGTGAATGCCAAACTCACCTTATTTACAACTAACAAGTTATCAACCTGTTTCCCAGAATTCAGTGCAACATCCCCTGTTTCCATGACAGCATCAGGAAGTACATTTTGCACTTCCTGTGCCAATACACCAGTATCATGGCGCTGATGTTCAGGCATTCCTACAGTGTCAGCAAAATCCTCTTTATATTTATATTTGTATATATTCAGTTGAGCAACATTCTTCAGTTGATCCTTTGAATTTACCTTCAAAGAGAGATAACTCAAATTAGTTTTACCAATTAAACAAGAATGTGTCCATAGTACATAGATGCCCCACTCGCACTATCATTTTCTATGTTCAGTGGACCGTGAAATTGGGGTCAAAACTCTAATTTGGCATTAAAATTAGAAAGATCTTATCATAGGGAACATGTGTACTAAGTTTCAAGTTGATTGGACTTCAATTTCATCAAAAACTACCTTGACCAAAAACTTTAACCTGAAGCGGGACAGACGGACGGACAGACGAATGGACGGACGAACAAACGGACGCACAGACCAGAAAACATAATGCCCCTTCTACTATCTTAGGTGGGGCATAAAAATCATGTGGATGATGACTTTAACTGAACATTCCAAATCTCACTTTTGTAAAAAAAAAATCAGCTGGATATAATGTTAGTTTGCAGTTTTTTCTTTTCCAAATAATTTTTTTTTTTACTTTCTTAGTTTTGAAATTCTGAACAAATTTATGTTAGACATTACACAAAATCTTCTGTAATCATGCTGCACTGTTCAAGAGGTGGCTGCCTGAAACACAATCAAAAGCCTCCAATACAAGAGTTCAGAAAGGCATGAACTAGCATGCTTACAGTAACTGTTAGTACCCCTGTCAGAAATGGCACCATTTAAGACTTTTTGAGCTGAAGCTGAGCACCTGTTGTCTGCTACCCAGTTATCTCACAGCTAATTGCCACTTCCTAAATCGACCCCAACTGCATGTACTCCCTTTACTATATTTATTGAAATTTTCTTTAAAAATTATATTCAGTAATATTTCAAAACTTAAAATGGAAACCTCACTTGAATAAATTATAATATTACCTCTCTAATATCATCCTTAACCCTTTTATCTGAGGGTTGGAGTAAATGACCAGTCAATCTCATGTTACCATGGACTGTCAGTGCCTCTTCAGGATGGTCCGTGTTAACACCTACCCTACCCACATGGTATACTCCATCTGGAGTCTGAGCTTTCTGCCACATCACATCTACATCACTGTCAAACTGACCAGGATTTGATGCCTGAAAAATTATCATAACAAACATATGGTCAGAAATAAAATACTGTAAATTTATTCTAATTCATTAAAGAAATTATTTAGCCTGTATTTAATTATAGATTTTACTGAGAGATAAATCATATTTTCTTAAAATTTCTATACAGCAATGGTTAAATTTAAAATAATTAAGCCAATTTAAGGTAAAATTGTTGATAAACCACAAGATGTCATGAAATATTTAAATTTCATGATTTAGAATTAACAAGCAAGGCAGCCTTCACAAGAGAGATTTTAGGTCTAAAAGCATCATACATCAAATTTATATAATTTCTTATTTTATGTAATCATGCTGCAACAGAGACATATATACATGTCTCTGGCTGCAATAAACAAACTATTCACAATTGACTACTATAATGGCTATTGTAAAATTATTCGTACACACTTGAATACCTACATTCATCCACACTAAGCAAAAAAATCTCTGATCACCTTGAAACTCACCCTGACAATCAAACGCTCAGATGATTGTGCTGCCACCATATAATCATTGTCACCACAGTGTGCATGTAATGCCACAACTAACATAAAGTATCTCTGATCTGGATTAGGTCTCCCTTTCTTTCTCATATTGTTAGAAGTTGTCTCACTAAAGTGAAGACGACCAACTGTCATTTTATTTGTTTGATTTGGTATAATATCCACTCTGAAATATTAACAAAAAATATCAGTAATCTTTAGTAATCACATAAATTGGTTATGATTATTTGAACTATTAAATCTGTTTTATATCTATCCAGAATGAATAACTAACAATGAATGTTTTATTTGATAACGAATTTACACTTTGTTTGGCCATATTCCGTATTTGAATGAATTTGATTTGTCACACTGTCTGAGGAGATGGTGGGCAAAAAAAATACCAAAAATCATTAATATCCTTCTAGGTTGCACTTCTGTGAATACAGATAATGTGATTTCCCATAGGAACTCCTTGTACAGCTAAAACTGTGCCACTTTTACTATGAAGTTTTGTAGAATATCCTAGAATGGAAAGTTCATATGTACTATTTATTCAAGTTCAAAACATAGGACTGTGTGGCATATTTTCAACATTTATATGGCTCACACTACTACGAGTTTAAACTTATACTTAATTCTGTACTACCCCTTCTTTCACTTTCCGTCTTCCTCAGAATTCAATTTGGCCGCTATCCATGCATACTTATACTGGTAAAATTCCCAAGTTGTGTCTCTATGAGATGAAACATAGAGATCATATCTGGGAACCAGTAGGTAAACAAAACAAATTATCTATGAATATTAAATATCTCCCCAAAAGAGGCGTGGTTTATGAAACAGCTGTATTTACAAAGTGGAACCTCTAGGCTTTCAAACATTCTGAACCAGACATGACCACAACTTCCTGTACACCTAATATCTATCAAAATCATACCACTTCTCACTATTTTAATACAATTATAATACAAACACTTCTATCAAAAGAAATGCAGCATTGTATCTAATGATTTCATAAAGAAATAAATTCTCAACACTGATGTCAGATGTCAGAGGTTTTGCCTTATGATGTCAATGTTTAATAATAAAATCTATGTTTTTTTTCTGTAATAGTGGATAAGAGGGAAAAAGAACAAACAAATGAGTACAAGATGAATTGAAATTAGTCAATTATTCAAAACTTGTATTTTTGTGCTAGACATTAATGTATAATACATGAATATGTTTTTACATTTAAAAAAATCAAATCCTGGTACACTAAAAGTATCTTTATTTTTTCTGATTTATGTATTTCAGAATTCAAATTTTTTTATCATAGATTTTTAGTTCTTATAGGTGATATTGTTGTGATAAAATTCAATGTTTTATTTAAATATTTCTTTTTAAGGAGGGAGTAGGTGCTCCATTTGTTGACATTGTGAAATATGAACGAACGGATATTTTGTTAACATATAACTCTTTTAGTTTACACACTACGTGTATATATAGTACATGTATAGTACATGTTCTGTCACGAAAAAAAAAACTCCTTTTCATTTCACCATTATATAACATATGTCATGCACCTTGGCAATTACAAGAAGTTTCCATCAATTGTACTTGTGGTTGGTACATGTAAGTACAGCCTGGTAGGTATTACAAATATACATAAATTGATGATATAAGATCTTGCACCAAAGTTGTCAGGACTTTTGAATTACAGTATAAATCACCTTCATGTGAAGCAATTGTCTTGCAACTGGTCAATCTATCAAAAGCTATTTATAGACATGTCAATTACTGAAAAAAAAGATATTACTAATTTGGAATAGCTTGTTTCATGTAACTTTTAACTGAAATTTACCTGAAATTTTACCCTAAAAAACTTTTAACACCTGACATATCTCAAAATTGCTGCCAATGAATGATTCTATTTTGATGTGAAACCTGACCTACAGGAATGGTTTTTCATCTGTTTGAATGTCAATCTTTGTAAAGTCAACTTACCTAACAGGATGGAAAGGCTTTTTACTTCTGTCTGATTGTGACTGTTCTATTTTGATTGTTTGTGAAGGTGACTCCGACTGAAAAAGTAAACATATAAATAAATAAAAAGGAAAACTGCTATTAAGATTCTGAAGTTGCTAAAAATATTCTTTTTAATGGTAAATTCAACATGGAAATCTAACTAGAGTTGTGACAATTTTTCTAAAGTATATTAAAACTATTCATGAAACAATGCAATCACATGATTTTTTGCAGGAACAATTTTTGTTGCTTATCTGCTTATTTCTTAATAAAATGACACAGAGATATGTCTTGCCTATGCTACATATAAACATTTGAATAGTTTCATAGTCAATGGACCATGACTGAGGGGTAAGGTCAAATAATCTACATGGAAATGAGATGTGCCAATGGTAATACAATTGCCTACAAAATAGCTTTGACTTACCATTAGTGGTTCATCTTAAAATGAATTTATCACAAACTTTAATAATTGTTGACTCTGTCGATGCTGATACCAAACCAGAATGCAGAAGTTTCACCTTTGCGACTTTGTCAAAAGACAAAAATTTACTGAAAGTCTTCAAATACATTGTGAATCATAAGTTTTACTTCCTGGTCTATGCAAAATCTGTACAGTTCATATTTTTGTTTTGTGACTTACCTTTACACCATAGAAATGTAAATGAAAAGCATCAATTTTCTTGACACCTTCTGGTGTTCGGACATATCTAGGGTCCCCAGCAATTGCCATGTGTGCTGTGACCTGGAAATGGTTCTTTTTCTGACACACGAAAGCTTCATCAGGAGTTGAAAAGTTAAATCCTTTGTCAGAATCTATACGGTATTGAGGCGGTGGTCTGTAATAAATAAAAAAGCATATTATTGCCTAATTATTCCAACAACAAAATAAGAAAGTTAATTGATTGCACATTTTTAATATTCATTACATCACTGATTCATAAAAAATACATAACTGAATACTGAAAATCTTTTAGATTTTAAAACAATAAAAAACCAAAATAGATGATCTCACAAATACATTAATCATAATTTGACATAAAATGCTTCAGTTATTTTTTTCATATAAAACGATTATACAATAAAACCGATTTTATTTCTCTTTATCTATCTGTACTTGAACTTTTCAAGTTAAATGAAGAAAAAAAAAATAACATAGGCCATACTAGTTCAATAAAAATAATCTAGGGAACAGCCAAAAAGGGAATGCTTTTTTTGTTCTTTATCCTCATGTATACTCGACTGATGGACTGACAGTGTGGATCTTATAATGTTTTCAATAGCAGCTGATTTATGTAACTCTTTTTTGTTGCTTGTATAGCATATGAGGGCCTCAGGGAAGATTCATGATTAGTTATTGTAATTAACTGTGTTTTACCTCTAAAAAAAAGAATTTATTATTATTATTACATTATCATAAACAGATGAGAAATGTTGTAATAAAAAATATGATAAACCTGTTTATATGATTATAATCATAATTTAAAGTAAATACATAGAATTTAACCTTCAAAATTTTGACATCAATCATTTAAACTTACAGATCTTTTAGATTTGAATCTGTTAATGCGGTCCACTTCTGAACATTGAATGCCTGCCATTTGATCACTTGGTACGATGAGTCCATGAAACCAGAATTACTAGAATCTGGGTCATATTGATAATCTTCTTCACAATCTAGGTATCCACCAAAACCAGAATCTAAATAAAAGTCATGATACTAGTTATTTGGTAGATCTATCTTTTTACATCCTGATCCAGATTGATTTACAAAACTATCTATCAAATAACTTGATACTTATCTATGGTCATACATTAATATTTGAGGCATTCAATTCTGGCAGAACTGTTTGTCGTATTTTTAACATATGTATTTCTTTTCATGTTTTGTGACAGATATTATGAATCAAGTTTTCAAGCACCATTTTTTTCAAATTTGCAGATATTAATACCACTCGTTACACATTTTTAGGTATACTAGCAAATTGGTACACTACAAAAATCAACTCCTTAAGTTTATTTAGATATTTCTTCATAAAAAAGGATGTGAATTTGTTATTGCCATGATTATGAAAGCTATGAAACTTTTCAATAAGGATGAAAAATGGGTCAAAGGTACATATGGTCAAGTTGCAATACTTATGGTTTGTAAATTCAAAGAACATATAAATGGTAACAGTACTAGTATTTCATATGTTTTATACAAACACTCTAGAAAGTTTGAAAGCTCTGGTTTGAAATTTAGAAACAGCGGACTACATAAAACTGGTACAAAATTTCTCTGCCTAACCAAACGTCCATCTACAAGACATTCATCATACAACAATCTAAGCAAGTTCTTCTTGCAACCTTGTTAATAATAGTGAAAACTGTCATCTAACTTACTAGGTTCCTGTTTAATAGGTAACATATCTTGCCGTCCATTCAGTAGTACATTGGTTAAGGTATTGCTAGGTGAATCAGGGTACTTTCTCTTGGTTGGACGTGATGGAATACTGAAAATAAACGTAACTGAATCATAATACATGTTATATCAAAATTAAATAAATGGAGAATGTGTCCATGGGACAAAGATGATGCATATAATGTTATAAAACGGCATAACTTGGAACAGTAAAAGTGACGCCACCCAAATTCGAACTTGATCTGTGTTTTGTGGTAATAAGCATTGTGCATAAGTTTGATAACATTTGGTTGAGGCAAACTAAAGTTACAGAACATAAACCAATTTTGGTATATATGAACGGACGTATGGACAGACAAAGGTAACACTTAATGCCCCCTCTGCTGGCAGTGGGGGCATAACAAGTATGCAAAATGGTGTAACTACAAGTTTGAAGGTTGTATATTTCTATCATAAGGTTTTTGTGTATAGTAACTATAGGGTTAAGCATTTCTGGTGAAAGCAAATCCAAAAAGCACATCCGATTTATAAAATATAGCTATGTTCTTCACAAGTACTTTTGCCAGATTTCTATTGTTTGAAAAAATCTCTGGTGCTTAAAACATGTGATCTTGGAATGACCTTCTTCACTTATTCACATGATCAAATGTTATGAAAGTCAAACATATGAACCATTGGTTGTTTTAGTTATCGGGACTAATACAACAAGCTGCATAAATAAAAAAGTTTTGAGTATTTACCTGAAGAAAAATATCTTCCTTATAATATATTGAGCACGTTTGGTGTTATTCCCCTTTTTCTTCAAAAATCAACATCCTATTACATTAAATTATTTTTATTGCATGTGCATATAGATTAACATTGTGTTTCTGTATACATGTACATGTATAAATTGTTTCGTACCATGCAATGGGTTGTCCGAAACAGATCTTTTGAGGTGAAAATAACATGGAAACTTTACATGAACTTTTTATGTATGTAGTTAAACAAAGGCAATATATCTTGAATAAGGAGAAAACTGTATTGTATTTCAAGCTTGGCTTTCGTAAAACATAGATTTTACTGTTGTAAACAGATATTTGGGACAGTAAAATCAAGTTTTACGAAGACCAAGCTTAAAATACAATACAGTTATCTCCATTATAATGCCACATATTAAAATAAATTCCATTTTAGTAAATATTTTGGCTTAAAAATGCAATAAATGAAAAGCCTGTAAAACTGTTACATTGTATTTGGCATCTAAACAATGTCACATCATAAGTATATCCCAATGTCAAAAATAGACATTTCTGAGTGGTTTTGATATTGACAAAAAGAAGATTTTGAGGCACAAAATGTGACTTTTTGTTTATTCTTTGAGAAATTACATACCAAAAAAAATTCTTATAGTTTTAATCCTTGTATCTACAACCAGATGAGTTTTCTACGATAAATTTAAGAATTCACATCTAAATACTTACCTGTATGATAAACCTGAAAAGAAAAGATTCCTACACAAGAGGTATAAAAAGTAAGAACTGCAGTATGAAAATTCTTGCCCATGTTGCAGCATATGTTCTTACCTGTAAGAAGAAGAGATCATCTGTGAATCTGCTGGTTCATGTCTGAATCTAAAATAAAATGTAGATTTTATTGATGAATTCTTAAGTGTTTAGCAATAGGTTTATGAGCAGATTGTCTCTGATTGGTTAAATGGATGGTCATTTTATTTTTATGTTTGTTCTTGAAGACTTCATAATACAGTGAGATAAGTTACTGTTATTCTTACTTATCAATTTTATTTTTTCAATGAAAATTTATGATTTGCCGTTAATGATTTAAATTGAAATATAAAAAAGTGCAACCATTTGTGTGGTTGGTGTATTCCCTTAATAGTGAAATATAATAAGAGGCATTGCGTGTTCATACCATACTTTACTCTGATCAATACATTCTTATGGTGAGAACTGATGAAACACTTTTGTTAATGGTGTCTTACCTTTGAAGAGGTGAGATCTGATGAAACACTTTTGTTAATGGTGTCTTACCTTTGAAGAGGTGAGAACTGATGAAACACTTTTGTTAATGGTGTCTTACCTTTGAAGAGGTGAGATCTGATGAAACACTTGTTAATTGTGTCTTACCTTTGAAAAGGTGAGATCTAATGAAACACTTTTGTTAATGGTATCTTATCTTTGAAGAGGTGAGATCTGATGAAACATTTTTGTTAATGGTGTCTTACCTTTGAAGAGGTGAGAAATGATGAAACACTTTTGTTAATGGTGTCTTACCTTTGAAGAGGTGAGATCTGATGAAACACTTTTGTTAATGTTATCTTACCTTTGATGAGGTGAGATCATTTGTAAGTTGATGCTGTACTTTTGACCTTTTGACCATAGGTTGTTACCTTTGATGAGGTGAGATCATTTGTAAGTTGATGCTATACTTTTGACCATGGGTTGTTACCTTTGATGAGGTGATATCATTTGTAAGTTGATGCCATTCTTTTGATCAGGGGATGTTACCTTTGAGGAGGTGAGATCATTTGTAAGTTGATGCTGTACTTTTGATCAGGGGTTGTTACCTTTGAGGAGGTGAGATCATTTGTTAGTTGATGCCTAACTTTTGATGATGGGTTATTACCTTTTAGGAGGTGAGATCATTGTGTTAGTTGATGCCGTTCTTTTGATGATGGGTATCTTTGAGGAGGTGAGATCATTTGTAAGTTAATGCCGTACTCTTGAAGATGGGCTGTTACCTTTGAGGAGGTGAGATCATTTGTAAGTTCATGCCAAACTTCTATTAATGATGTCTTACCTAGCCCAAGAACACAGTTATTTCATAGTGCATTTCTTTAAGACAATAAATTAAAATTAAAAAATAGCACCTGATCTATCTGAAAAAGATTTTTACAGTGTATAATACTACTTTTGGGATAAATAATATCAAAATTATAGAAAAGTCAACCAGCTCTAACTCAAAATATGGACAATTCTAGGTTAAGGCGATCTATAATTCAGTTTGACAGCTTCAGACATACTAATTTTTTACCTTTTTAACTGGACCAAATCACTACTTTACTTAATAAACTGTTAACACAGAGGAATGTCTCACCTTTTCCTTATTTTGATAGTAAAATGCAAATGTTGAAAATTAAAATAGCAATACTTTAAGATGTAAGTTAAGTAAAATATTCAAAGTCAATGAACCATGACTGATGGTACAGGGCCAAATAATCTCCATGGAAATGAGATGTGTCAATGCTTATACAAATGCATATCCAATATCTTTGACCTACCACTAGTGGTTCCCCATAAACTAACCTAATCATAAACTAATACATGTAAACTAAGCAAAAGTTTCGAAGTCAACAGACCATGACGGAGGGGGCTTGGCGAAATGATCTCCATGGAAATGAGATTTGCCAATGCTAATACAACTGCATTCCAAATATCATTGACCTACCACTGGTGTTTCCAAGTTAACTGACCTAATCACAAAATAATACATTGTTGAGGCCACTGCCGCCGCATACCTATGTCTTGCTTTTTGACTCCGTCAAGGCAAGACAAAAATTCATCACCCAAATTCCTTTTAACAGGTAATTTCATCCCCCTACTTAATATTTCATGCATAAAATATAAAGAAATAATTTTGGAACGTGTATAACATAAAGTTAAACACTGTCCACACTAGGGACTATATATGTAGACAACGAAAACCAAAGGATGATAATTGTGTCCTCAGACCACCTGTGAGGAGGTTAGATCATTTGTAGGTTGATGCCTCACTTTTGTTAATGGTGTCTTACCTGTGAGAAAGTGAGATCATTTGAGGGTTGATGCTACATTTTTATTAACTGTGTCTTACCTGTGAGAAGGTAAGATCATTTGTGGGTTCATAACACACTATTGTTAATGGTATCTTACCTGTGAGAAGGTGAGATCATGTCAGGGTTCATGCCATACTTTTGTCTTTGGAGTCTTACCTGTGAGGAGGTAAGATCATTTGTGGGTTCATGCCACATTACTGTTATTGGTGTCTTACCTGTGAGGTGGTGAGATCATTTGTGGGTTCATGCCATACTTTTGTCTTTGGAGTCTTACCTGTGAGGTGGTGAGATCATTTGTGGGTTCATGCCATAGTTTTGTTTTTGGAGTCTTACCTGTGAGGAGGTAAGATCATTGGTGGGTTCATGCCACACTATTGTTAATGGTGTCTTACCTGTGAGGTGGTGAGATCATTTGTGGGTTCATGCCTGAAGCAGAGAGAGGTAAAGGTGTGGATGTTGAAGGGTCAGGGTGAGATACTGGAGCAGGTGGCATGTGATTTAATACAGGTGGCTCATTATACCCTGATGGAATAGACTTGGCATGAATTCCTGGAGGCCTATGGTGGCTCGGTGGATACATGTGATGCATCGTGGGGTTCACACCGTATTTGTTTTCTGAAAAAGATAATAAACCATGAAAATATTAGTGAGTGCACATTGAACTTATTATAATTCTAATGAATATATCAACTTAGATTTCTCAATTAATGGAAAGTTTTTTTTACCTGTGCCCTTGAATGCAATTCCCATTAGGAAATATGACAAAAGTCACCTGTTATTAACTCAGCTGTTAACATCAGGAACCAAGATGTACATAAATAGCTAATTTCTATCCTTAATCATAGACTGATGAAAATCACATATCAACAAAATGAACAAAGTTGATATGTGAGGTAATAACTATGCATCTGCACATTAATTAGCTGGCAAAATTTTACTTTGTTACCAGAAAAAGTATGAATTACCATGTACTCAAGAGAGCATTTGTTTCTAACCTTAAACGATGTAAATAATTACGAAAGTAGTCGCTTAATCCATTCGTTTCTGTCATTTTTTGGTCAACGTTGACATAAACGATGTACGCGCAAAATAGTTGGGTAGTCGTCGATCGTTTATCGCTGAGACATGTAAACAATACATTTGTTTCTGCATCTGTTGTTTAAATAATTATGAGCACGTGTTGTTTTCTCAAAGTTCTGGTCATTCATTTACCGCACTTTTACCTGTTTGTTTACAGTGCGTGTATGTAATCTATTTCTGTCTCACTACTCGGGGTCGATAAAATTCATCAAACGATATCTTTCTTTCTAGCAGCTTAATGCTTACTAAAGGATAGTTATCGATGACAAAATTTCGGGTAAGAAACAAATGCACTCCAAGTCTGTCTTTTTTTTTTTTATGAAATTCTATGTGTAAAGTCTAACTAAATATGTGTTGAGGGTCTAATGTCTTATCATTGTTTGACTTTAATTGTAAGAAAAGATAAAGATGTTGGACAAAATGACAAAAATTGGTTTACATGTATTAAAAAATCCCTGCTGGAGTAACAAGACCAATTTGGTACAATGTGACAGTTTACTAAAAACTCAATTCTAGACGCCTAAATTCAAAATGTACTATTTCATTGTAATTTTATCAGATTCCTTTTTTTTTCTTCAAATACAACGTATTCAATTACAAGACATCCCAATGCTCATTTGTATAGTTTGCATTCATCATAAATCAAATCAAATACACAAAATTCCACTAGGATTCTTTTATTCTTATCAAATATATAATTTTACCAACAAACACATTACATATTTAATGCATGTTACATGACACAAAAATTGCCCAATATATTTACACCATAACCACTACAACATGAAATAACTTGTTTTAGAAAGAAAAAACAGAAAAATAAAAAAGTAAAATATTGACTACATATCCTGAATAGGTACAAGCAAGCAATTTGGAGGGTGTGAACTGGTAGTATGTGTTTTACCTGCCTTAATATAATATTTCGAAAAACTCACAAATACATATTTCCTTCGGAATTTGTTCTAATTGCAAAGTTCAAATTTAACAACTACACCTTTTACTTTTGAAAGTACGAAAATCATTAAGACTTGTACTTTGTGAAAAACTTAGCTGGAAATGTTTCAACCAAAAAATATAACAAATGGGCCATTAAATTGAAATTTAAAGCTCAGCTTGAAGAAAAATGGAATTTTAAATTTCATTTCTATGGGTACATCTTTACCTTGATATCAATCATACACATAAAGCATTAAAAAAATGACAAGCAGTTGGCGATAATTCCAGATAATTCAAATTTTTCTTACCATGAAATTTTTTCATCTTAATCCAATCATTGATTTTTTGGTTACAGTTGCACATTTGTCTCAGATTTATCTTTAAATTTTCAAAAATTCAATAATTTCATTCTGGTTGGACATGACAAATTGAAAGGAACCTAAAAGCATTCTTTAATTTAAGCCTCAGGTGTGACAAGTATTATGATATGACTATTTTTATTGCATATTTGCCACCCAGATCTTGTTAACTTTCCATTTTCAACAAAATTTACATTTGATTCTTTCCTTAAGCTGATGATCTTGTCCCACAGATTAACAACAATTGTTAAAAAAAACTGACACTGATTACTAAATTAAGCATTTTGTGTAATGAAATCTGATCTATATTTAAACTTCCAAAAATCACATGTTGTATTTAACAAAGTTTAATAAAAACACTAAAATGGTTCATTGTCCTGCTTTATATTGACAAAACGATCAGACTATATTGACGAGGTATAGAATCGTGTGTGAGGTCGAGACATTGGTTTAATTAACGATTGGTACGACATGGTACTACATTTACACGCCTTAACAAATGTAAAATTAAAAGAAATGGCTAAAGTAAATCAAGACTTCCAATATTGACCTCCTTATCAATTTTTGATAGGAGTCTTTAGTTGCAATTATTACATAAAGATGTGGGAATCTTGGGTAGCAATTATTACATAAAGATGTCAGAATTTTGGGTAGCAATTATTACATTAAGATGTCGGAATCTTGGGTAGCAATTATTACATAAAGATGTCGGAATCTTGGGTAGCAATTATTACATAAACCTGAAGTTGGCATTTTATTCAACCTATCTACACTATAATAAGAAGTAAAATTAAAATAAAAATAACTTCTTTTTTTCTATGTCTAGCCTTGGACTATTAAACTACTTGGGACTCACTGGGACTATTATTAGTCCAAAGTCTAGGTGTTAGAAGAATAACTCATTTTACACATTTGTTATTATTGTACAACATACAACTTAAAAGGTACTGATACAATGTATCACAAAAATATATAAATTATATCTCATTATATAATTCATTATATCCTATTAAAAATTTTATTTCACTAATTATTGAATATTCAAATGATGAATAAAAATAAATAATTCAAAACTAGTAATATTTGGTTTTAGTAATGATAAATATTGCAACAACATAGAAATGTATTATTATAAACCTTATCCTAAAAAAACAAATTAAAAATATGCATGGAAATTTCAAACAAAAACAAGAAATAAATAACCAACCTTTAAGATAGAGAACCATCGTAAAAGTCACATTACCGAGGTCATTGGGTTGTAGAGAAGACCCATCATTTACATTTGTTCATAAGAACTACGCTGACATGTCGACTGGTACAGGTAAATACAATGAGCCAAGTAGGAAATCGCCAGACATATAATTTATGATGACATTTCCGTAAAAAGAAATTGCTGTTTCTTTTTTTTTTGTATGATGTAATTAAGAAATTTCCCATTGTTTATGTTTTGAAAAAAAACTATTGTAGGTGGTGCAAACAAATGCAACCAATACAGTGTCATAATGTGGAGCACTAAAGTACTTTTATCAAAAGCTTTTGTTTGGTTTTTATAAATAAAATATCCAAATAAGAATAAAAAACAAAGAAATATTATTCAAAGTTTAGAATTCTTATTCTGATTTATTTACATGATTATATTGAATTAACAATGTGATTCATTTATTTTCATTGAAAATTGTTTATTTATTTTGATGAAAAGTTTTATTTTTGTGGATACTTGATTATGTTGCTTTGACAATATTTGCATATCTGCCTATAGGAAATTATCAATTAGCCTATATGAAATTATCATTTTTTTTTAACACTTAAATTCATGTAAATAAAATGTTCGTTCAACTAAAACCCCAAAATTCATGGAAATGAGTACCCCAAAGAATGCCATTAAAATTCTTAACCTGGAAATAAATAGTAAATCAACATTTAAGATGAAACATAAAAAAGTTTGGCCTTCAACTTTCTGAAATATGTTCAAAACATGTTAAATTTATACAAGACCAAGATATATATTTATATTTTGGATCCCTTCGGCAACTGTTCAGACACATAACTTCGTTTTTTTAAAAACTTTTTTCACATTTTACCCAAATCATTATGAATTCTTTACATGCTTGATTAACCTTATATATATACATAAAAAAATATATAAACACCACTTTATTTTATTAATTTAAATAAATCTTGTTGCTTCTTAGGAATTTTCAGTATTCTCAAAACTGGGAGTATTATACAATTATCTTATTACACTATATATACAATAACACAAAAAAACCAAACGGTCTACCCATAATATTTAAACAACCAATTAACACAAATCAAATAATGTGTCATGCCCAATGGAAAACATAAAAGTAATAAGAATAAAGATATAAAAAATAATAATTTAAATCCACCAGGTTGAATCACGTTCAATTAAATTTTCCACAAAAAAATCTTCAAAACAGAAATAAAAGTTTACTGTAATTATTTCTAAAAAATACTCTAAATTGTTACAAAATTACAGTGTTCCATTTCAAAAGAAAAACCTGAAAGAAATTTATCGTATTTTTAAACTGAAGTGAGATTAATCACAGTAAGTGTTATCAAAAAAAAAATCTAAAAAGTTCTTGACCTATTAACAATTTTATAAAAGTGATTTTTTTATGTTTAATATTCCATTTATGTGGTTTTTTAAAAAAAAATTTACTTATTGGCCATTGATTCAAAAATATACCGTAAACTCTTTTGAAGCATTCAACTAATCTTCTTTAAAAGGAAAGCTTTTAATTTAAGTGAATTATATATAAATATAATTATTATTGATGTACATTAATTCATGTTATTTATATCTTAATTTTTATTTTCCATATATATATATATATATATATATAATAAAAAAAGTTAAAATGTTTTAAAAGTTTTAAGCATGTATCATATGTACTGGTGATATTTGATACTATACTAATGCCCTTTGTGTTTCGTTATTCATACTACAAAATGTACAACAATCAACTTTCTTAACTAATTGCCAAAAAATAAAATTGGACAGCTATATCTTTCACTATTAAATACTAAATCCATTTTAGGTAGTAGTAAAAAAATAAATTTAAGCCTTTATTCATCGTAAATGCATTAATGTTTTAAAACTAATTGCATAAATTTGTTTCTTCGTAGTTTACCCTTTTTAAAGCTACATCGTATCCACAACATAAAAATATTATTATTCATATGTATGTCAGTTAAAAGCTCTACAGAGCTTATTTT